CAGCTTGTACTGTTTAACTTCATGATTGGGCCGTAATTCAAAAGCAAATTGGCAAGAAGTGGTGCTCACGGTCTCACTTAACGTCACTTATCGCTCAGTTAAGAGCGACCATGGTCTTAAGCGACCATGGTCTTAATATCAAATCAAATCAAATCAATAGTAGAGGCTCTTACGGGCATTGTCTGCTCGATACGCTAGGGACCCCAGATACACCTTACTAGACGTATTTTTGACCGTAGAATCGATTAAAAGTAGTTTCAAGATGACTGAACTGATTGTTCTTGGTTAAAATTGCAAAAAACCGATTTTTGGGCCAAAAATAGGCCAAAAACCATGTTTTTTGATATTTTGAGCAAGTTAATTTTGTTGGCATGTCGGCAAAACTTGCATGGAGATAGCTAAAAGGCAGCCGCACAATATGGTATAAAAATAAACAAATCCCTCTATTTGTTCTGGGGTAAAAATCCAAAAAAGTAGTAAACATTTTGACTTTTTTGCTTGAAGTTTGAATAATTTTTTGCAGTTGTATTAAATCATCTCAAAAATAGTCACATCGTGTTTGCCTGAATTTTTCCTTTCTGAGAAGTACCCACTTCATATACTTTATCGAAGTTTGAATATTGTCACTCCGCAAGCGTTTTTGCCACATTTTCGACGCGCACTACGCGCAAAAGCATTTAGTTGTTATCAATTGGCACCCGCGCGTTCATTATAAATTTCAAACAGCTATAACTCAGCGAGATTATGTCCGTTCTAGCTCATATTTTCACACCAAATAGAAAATAATGTGATCTTATTGCTGACAAAATATGAATATAATTACTTTATTTGCCTTAGAGTAATAGACTGTCAAAGTTTAAAACGCGCATTGGTATAGCACGTGACTAATAAGGCCAAATTTATATTTCTTAACATATTATCGATCCTTAGACATCATACTATTGTGTCCAATTAGCGGTTAGGTCTCTAAACTCGTAGCAGAAAACACGTTTTTTGCCCGTAAGAGCCTTTACTATAAGCAACAGACAGCCTGCAGGCATATGATCCGAATACGAAATATCCTTGTGTTCGGCATTTAAATTTAGCCCTAATTGGTTACTTCGTACCCAGGAAAAGTTACCGGCTGGTGGTGGTACTAAAGTTGGTTTAATTTAAACAGACGGCTTGACCTCGCGCGCGACAACAAGCATGATTTGCACGCGTGGCGCATTCCAATGTTCAGGCAGCTACCACGTGACACAATTCAGCCAACCAGAGTACAGGAATCCGCAAAGTTAAAGTTGCAAACTTTTGATCGGCCCGAAAGGGGACTTTTCTGAAGATTTTGAGATAACTCAACAATTACGTTGTCTTGAATTTTTCTCCTGGAGAGGTAACGTTACTTTTAAAAGAGGAACATGTTACAAAAAACCGAAAGTCTCCAACTCTTTTACTTTCAAAGTTAAGCCTTATCCGGCGCGGTTAGGGTTCCTGGGATACGGTCATCACGTGATCGAGACAGTTTTTCGCCAATATCTCGACAGGGGAGAATTTTAACCAATTTACTTTATGTCCGCCAATGATCTGTCCAGTCTTTTTGGATTTTATGAAACAAACGGACATATAATAAACGAACTTGAATTGGAGGGCTTTGACGCGCCTCACCATTCATAATATTATTTGTATTTTGCTTCTTGCTTGCTTCGCCTTGGAAAGAAAATTAACAATTTGAAAAGGTTGGCATCGTCAATCAAATTCTTGATATATGATTTTTGATGCACGCCGCGCATCAAATTTTTATCGCAACTAGATCGTAGCAATACATTATTAAGCCAATATGAGCTGTTAAGGGTCAACCGTCAATGCAATAAAGTTTTATTGATCTATTTGGAATGCTAAAGTATACAAAGCAAAATATATATTGTTTTATTGTAAAAGCTATTGCTTTTACATTGTACATTTAATTACACCGCATATACGATTTATGATATCTTGCTCCAAAGCTGAGATATGAGGTTAACCAGAGTGCGGGTTACAAAATTTATAATGGTTAACCTCATAAATCAAAAATCAAATCAAAATATAATGACACAAACATCATCACACATCATCAAAAATATATTTACTAAAGTTTAAAAATTATCTTAAATCTATTGGCCTAAACAACCAAGTTAAAATGAATCTAATTTACATACTTTCCACTACTATATAAGTTGATTAAGCGTTTTTTAGCATCATGAGGATTACACACAAAATATTCATTGTGCTTCTCTTTATTAAAAGCATAATTTAATCCCTCAATCTTTCCTAATACTTCGTCCGAAGAAAGTATGGTACACACTACCTTAACCGTCACTGGCCTAATTAAATCCTCCGGCTTCCTGTAATTGGCTAGTTACACTTGTGTAACAATGTGGCTGTTGGAATACTCCGAAGTAAAATAAGTGTGAGATAAAAAACATACCAAAAATGACTATCATTTACAGATCCGTTTAAAATAGTCTCTTTTTTGAAAGCCTCTAATCTTATTTTAAAACTTAACACAGTCCCACAATTCTTGACATGTGATGATGTGATGTCAAATTTTACTTTACTTTACTTTCACCAATTTTATAAGTTTCCGTTTTTGTTTGCTGTCGCCTGTGACATATTACATACACGAGCCCTGTGTGTAACTGTAACGTACGTTAAAATAATTCAGTTAATTAATTAACTTTCTGCTGTGGTATTGTATGCAGTCATCTGCGAATAGCCGTCAGCATTTTATTTGGGGAGGGGGCCAGCCCCATGAGTCACAATGATGTGACTCTTGACGCGAGTCTCGTTTCTGAACTTCACAACAGACCATGAATCTTGTAGGGGTTCCCCTTCAGTATATAAAATGGAGCATTAATTAACTATCTATACTGTAAGTTAAATTAGAGTGACCAATTTATTGGATTATGAATTATGAATTCTTTTATTATGTGGTCAGATACCATCTTGAAAACAGGACATACAAACTACAACCATGGTTAGATTGCAGAACTGGCTTATACCACACTTCGTTTTTATTCTGAAGGGCACATTTCTGAACTTGACTTAGGACACAATCTAGCCACATACCTAATTTATTACCAGAGGGACCCCATCATATTATGTTTTAAATACATCTTTTTTTTTTTCTTTTTTTTTAAAAGAGAGGCTGGGCCTGGTTGGCCCACGAGAGGATAGCATATGGATGCTTTGCCTACCTCTGGGGTATGGCAGTCCTGTGGGAGGATGCCAGCGGAATCAAGATGTGTAATCACGGATGATGGTAAGTGTTGTGGGGTGTGTTATAGATAAACGGTTAAGTGGTGGTTGAGTGTGGAAGAGAGGGGCGAAACAAGACGGCGTTAAAGTAGTCGCTATGTTACACCTGTCTGGTCCAACTCCTCCGGCACCACTAAGCGTTTAGTGTGGTTTGTAAAGTTGACAATGGTGGAGATGTGTTGGTTGTCGAATATGTCATTGACAGAGAGGTAGTAGTCCCGGAAATATTGACCTCTTATTTGGGCAATAGCCGGGCACTGTCCGAGAAAGTGTGAGACAGTCTCCTCTCCGTCGCCGCATTTTGGACAAGCACTTGTGTCTGATTTGTGAATGGTGTGTAGGTGTTTGTTGAGGCCACAATGTCCCGTGATGAGGTGCACTGCAGTTCTGTAATTTTGTCTGTTGTTACTGAGTGTAGTGTTGAGATTTTTGATGATGTTGATGTTTTTATGTCCAAGTGTCAGTTTAGTGTGTCTGGGACCATTAGTAATCCATGATTCTTGATTAAGTTTTGTGACTTTGTCGTTGATCAGGCGTTTGATGTAAGATTGTGGAATTGGGCAATTCAAAGTGGATTCACTGGTTGTGCCATTTTTGGCCAGCTCGTCTGCTTTTTCATTACCCCACAATCCGATGTGTGCTGCTATCCATCTGATCTCTAAGGTGTTAGTGGATCCGAGTGTATTGAGGGTGTCGTAGCAGTCTCTAGTGGTTCTACTCCTCGTTGAAGGTGAGGATATAGCTTGAATAGAGGAGAGACTGTCTGACCATATGATGATATGTGTGTTTGTGTAAGTTGATAGATATTTACAAGCTTCGATGATGGCAGTGAGTTCAGTTTGATAAACGGTGCAATAATCAGGAAGCTTGAATGATCTTTCATCTAGTGTAGTGTTGTTGTTGTCTGTGGTGATAATATAACCAGCCCCGCTACCTGAGTCTGTGCGTGACCCGTCTGTGTAGCAGGTGATGGTTTCACTGGGGATGTTGTCGATGGTGTTTTGGAGTGAGCCTCTATATTCAATGTTGTCAGCTCCAGGAGTGGTGACCGTGAAGCGTCGTTCAAGCATCATGGTTGGTATAGATAGGTCTCTCTCTGCTTTGGGTGGTATGTTGAGGTCTGCCATGAATTGTTTGTTGATAGTGGTGTGAGTTGTGATGGTACCTTTTCTGGGGGCGATAGTTTCGAGGGTTAGGCTTCCATATGCTTGAAGCCTGGCTGTGCCCTTTGCTGCTTCACCTCTCAGGAAAAGTATGATATCTGGAGTGTTAGTGAGGTGGTTCAGTGCGATGAAGGGAGTACTAGGCATGGCACCAGACATCATTCTCAATGCCAATGCCTGAACTCGTTTGAACTTCCTCGCGTTGGTGTCTGTTTGGGTTGCCCTAATCCATATACTACAGCAGTATGATATTAAATACATCTGTGCCTGCATCTCAATCGGATGCAGATTGTAGAACAGGTTCCCCCAACGAACCAATCATGTTTGATTGTATGTTTCACATAGTGGGGATGATGCGACATGTCGTTAAGACTGAATAGCTCTATCTGATTAAGTCCTGGGATTGGCTTTTCGATTAAAACCTGTGTTGGGGTTGATAAATGATAACTTCCATGTGTTTTGTAATGCTGTTTTCTTTCACTGCTCTCCACCCCCCCCCCCCCTACCTGTCAGACTGTGAGATACTTTTCTATTGATCTAGACTATAATATCATAATACTTGAAAGGAATGCAATGACAGAGATGAACAATGCCTGCAAAACTTTCTCCTCAAGAGCTCCTGAACACCAAATGGGTGGAGATCAGTACGTCAGACCTTGTGGACTCCACCAGAACTGACTACCACTTCAATAAACTTCTTCACAGTAAAGAGGTACTGTTTATTAATGTGATGTATAGATCCAAAAGTTTGTTTCATCATGGTGTTTTATTTGTAGGGTAAACTTACTGGTCCTTCGAATTAGTGTCTATTTTGGTCAAGATCTCTATTATATCCCAAAGATGTCCTCTTTCTTGGATACTATTTCTTGTATATGTACTGTATTCATTATAATAGTATGTACTTTTTAGTTCAAGTAGTAGTTATAGTGCTGCGATATTATTATTATGTATGTTGTTAAATCAATACTTATCAACACAGGTTGTGTACTCACCGGGGCTATGTATTGACACAGCAGGAGTTCAGTTCATTGAATTAGATCCAAGAAAACCTTCTGAAGATGACAAAAAGGTGACCAATTGAGATCTTCATGGCAAAGAATCGGACATGAATGGTCCATTGTTGTTTGTATATTTCATCTTTAAATTCATGTATAGTATACTGATTATCTATGATCATTTATCTAGACATACAATTTCAGGAACTCATTGGTAAAATATTGCAAAGTGAGGACGACCTTGCAAGTCACATCTCAAGCACAACATTATTCTCCCAATATATTAGCAAGAAACAGCTTCTTCACGAGAGAATTTTATTTGCTGTGTCTCACAAATATCATCAGGTATGTCAAATTTAAAAACTCTTTTTTGTCTGCAGACTTCTCATACAACTTGTCATTCCAACTTCTCAGAAGAATAATACAAAGTTAACAATTTTATAAGATGAAGACTAGGTCTCTAGGTGAAATCAATTAAAGATTGTTACTAAAGGAGATATAAAAAGTTTGTTAGTTATTTATAACTAACAATTTTTATTATATATATAACTTTTCACTCTTCTTTTAATGTCGTTAATAGTTGTGTAGAATACGAGACATTGTTGTGTTGATATTCACTCACTTTCGTACTCACTTTCGTATCTTGCAGGACGCAATTAAAACAGAAGCCAAGCTGTCAAGCTCTAGTGAGTCGAGTGTTGACTTGTCTAGTTCTGAAATTGTGCACACACCAACTGGAAATGGACTGCTTCTAGAACTTGGTCTCAAAACAGGTTTCAGAATTTTATTGGACTTCGTGGTGGTAATTTCTATCAAGCTTCTAGTGTAGAAATTAATTTTAAAGCAGGTCTATTCAGCACAAGATATATTTTGATATTCCTACAAATAAAGCCAGAAGCTTTATTTCTAAATTACTTAAATCCAGTAACAGAAATATACATATTAAAAAGTACTACTTGAAGAAGCCTCAAACTTAACTTTCAAGTTCAGGACCTAACCCTAAACCATTTCCAGGTCTGTCCCTGATGTTCTCCCTCCTAAAACAGTCCTGGGTACAATCCCAGACTGACGCGTACAGCCTGAGTAACGATGTGTTGATAACAGCACGTGACTTGCTCTCCGCTCTTCCTCCACTGTCTTTAGCTATGGACACTAAGATCCCTCCTCTCGGCAACCAAACTCTCAGTCAGGTGGCTAAACAAACTATCATACTTTAAAAGAACTCAGAATTTAAAGTGTTGATATTTTTGTTTGTTGTTTATCATGCAAGGCAGGTATTATTTTGTTGTTGATTAGTGTCACATTCCCTAATAGTTCTAAAGCTAATTAATTTCCACCTCAGATTTGCCAGTTTCTACAAAACACAGTACACGGTAAATCCAACGCCGATTCGTACGGACAACAGCTAGCGGCAGAGGTGCTGCTGTGTCTGGTGATACAGCGCGGATCACTACACACTGTGCTGGACTGGGTGCGCATGGCGCGCAGTCCCAGCACCCAGGGGGTCATGATATCAGTTCCTCTGCTCAACCAGGTTAGCAATCGGAAATGCCTCGCCTCCACCAGAATTCACAGTTATCATTGCTGAAAGATTTAGAAAATATTCTCTTCTAGTACAGTGGAACCTCGATTTGTCGCAGACCCCGATTTAACGCACTGTTTCCTTTCCCCAAACTCCGTGCCACTACGTGGTAAATCGGGGTTTTACTGTGTGCGTCTTTTTTCAAATGAATTGAAAAATTTACTTCAACCAACTCATGAGTTTATGCCCGTCTTTCCTATAATAATTATCAAATATTTATTTTCCGATGTTAGCTCCGATGACAAGATTATGAGAATTTCTCAACTAACTCAGCAGTAAAAATGCTTCTTCTACCGGACTAAAAACCTGCTCTACTGAACTAAATATATAAGTCCTCTTTAAAAAAGTGCCACTTCAGATGAATTGTCATAAATATGCTCTTTAGTCTTTAGTCTAGGAAAGACGAACATAAACTCATGAGTTTGTGGAAGTACATGTTTCCAATTCATTTGAAAAAACATAAACTACAAGAGAATATTTTTCTAAATCTTTCACAAATTTCAATAAAATTGAGGACATATTATTTACAGGTAGTGCAGCAGATAGAGTGCAGCAAACATCTTATCACATGTAATTTTACAGGTAGTGCAGCAAATAGAGTGCAGCAAACATCTTAACACATATATTTTACAGGTAGTGCAGCAGATAGAGTGCAGCAAACATCTTATCACATGTAATTTTACAGGTAGTGCAGCAGATAGAGTGCAGCAAACATCTTATCACATGTAATTTTACAGGTAGTGCAGCAAATAGAGTGCAGCAAACATCTTATCACATGTAATTTTACAGGTAGTGCAGCAGATAGAGTGCAGCAAACATCTTATCACATGTAATTTTACAGGTAGTGCAGCAAATAGAGTGCAGCAAACATCTTAACACATATATTTTACAGGTAGTGCAGCAGATAGAGTGCAGCAAACATCTTATCACATGTAATTTTACAGGTAGTGCAGCAAATAGAGTGCAGCAAACATCTTAACACATATATTTTACAGGTAGTGCAGCAGATAGAGTGCAGCAAACATCTTATCACATGTAATTTTACAGGTAGTGCAGCAAATAGAGTGCAGCAAACATCTTATCACATGTAATTTTACAGGTAGTGCAGCAAATAGAGTGCAACGTTAGTCTGGAAATGGGAACATTTGGAGGTAAAGAAGAAATCACACTTAACGATGCGGCTACTGCTCTAATGAAACATGTTAGTTTCTGCTAATTTTATATTTAGTTAATTAATTAATTAATTAATTAATTAATTAGTTAATTATATATTTACTGTACTTCCCTGTATCAGTGTTAAGCAATGTAATTGTAAACACCTTGAGTCCCTTGTACAACGTCGGTATGCTACAAATTTTCCCAATATGTCTCTAGATAAACACTCTGTCAATGTTGTTAAACACGTAGTGCAAGCTTGTACGTTTTGCAGCACACATTTATTCCTTCGATACCAATAAATTGGAGAAGCAGCTACAAGTAACTTATGTATTATATTGTATAATTGTGTTTGATACTTGTATAAGTGCACACTGAAAAAAAGTACGTGCAGTATGGTTTTTAATTTTTATTAAGTTCCGTATTTGATTTATTAATAAATGGTCCTCATATCGTATTATTAACAATTTGAACAGTAGAAATTTTCCAGTAAAACGAAAATTCCGGTAAATCGGGATCTCAATCGTGCACAAGTTGGTGTTGTTAAATTGTCCTGATTGATGTGCATTTCTCATTAAAATATTCTTCCTCGAAATCAATTGTCCATCTCCTAAAACAAGAAGACCTCTTTTTTCTCAAAACGTTTGAGTCCGCTGAAAAATAAGAAAAAAAATCTTATTTTTGGTTGGATTTTAAAAACGCCATTTTACGCGTTATTAAATTCAAACCCCAGAACAGACTAAAAACATTCCAGAAGTGCAAATTGAATTATCAGCTACAGCTCAGCACTAACATGTCAACAGGTGTACATAGTCCAGATGTGTCTATTTATAGGCCCCAGCAGGCAGCAGCACAAATATCTGCAACATAGTGGTATTCAGTGTAGTACTGATATGGTATTTTAGGAATTTTAATAGTTAGTATCTGAGGCTATGGAAAGTTTTAAAGTGGAATGAGTACAATTATTGGAATAACTTGGATAATCACATTATTGTTAAGACCGTAACACTTAAAACAGATGCCAATTAGCAAGATATTTTGTCTTCCTGTAATTGGCCTGTTACCTGGTTGTACTGTAAGAAATACAGAAATAAAATAACTAAATGTTAAGAATGTAAATACACCATACCAGCATTGTACCCAAAATGTAGCTGGCACGCATGGTATTTAAGATTTAGGTCCTAAATCCTCAGTAAGAACTGTGAGGTTAACCAAAACAATCACAGGTGTGCACCACAGCTACCAACTACATAGACATGTGTATGAGGTGTGATAGTAAGCCTGACAGCGACCCTGTAATGCCCTCTGATGTGTATATCTGGGGCTCCAACAGCTCCCACCAGGTTAGATTAACAATTATTCAGTTTAAACTTTTTTAAATTTACTGATCTTTAAATTTATCATACCATTGATTCATCGATGGTATGATAAATTTAAAGATTTTAGTTTCATGAAACTTAAATTTTGACCGTTAAATTAGAGTTTCTTACAGCTAGCTGAGGGGAGTCAAGAAAAGATTTTAGTAGCGAAACAAACGGAATGTTTTGCGGGGTCCCAATATGTTGAAGCCGGACAATACTGTACTTTTACTATAGGTCAGAGTGAAGTTATTAGTATGTTTATAGGTTCCATCATTACTTTACATTATAGTGAGCGTAATGGTCATTGCGTTTAAAGTCGATTAACTGATTAAGTAATTGGTTAACTTTGTTAACTATTTAAATTTACACGTTTCTTTGGGCACGGTTTGGTATTATAATCCTTGTTAGGCAAGATTTCTAAGTTAACCGAGTAATCTATTTCGAACTGTTAATCATTACTTCCTGCTGACTAACTAATTAGAGTAATAAGCCTAAACAGTAATCATGTTAAATTACTTAAATTATTTTAATAACGTTTGTAATTACATTAGTTATTTGTTAGGTGGTGAGATACAAGCCTGTGGTAAAGGCAGTTACGGTAGACTCGGACTAGGTAAGCATGGTTACTTTAAAATCAATCATTAATTTAAACTGCCTTATCGCTATTGATTAATTTATAAATTAATTAATTTATAGATGATAAATAATGTAATATGTATCCATTTTGTGAAGATCTCTTCACAAATCATTATATTATATTAGTGTAGGATTGCCAGTATGCGCTATAGTTATCAAAGTTCGATACATGATATGGCTTTACAATTGGAATATGAGACTGAATCTTAAGTCGGTAGTCAAGTACGTGGTAAATAACATGTTGTGTTTTGGCTACAAGTTACAAACTTTAAAGTATTCATAATTAATGTAATTACTGTTGATTAACTGTATCGAATGTCAGGGAATCACCTCCCTTCCTATAGCTATAGTCACGTACGTTGTACATATAACTTACCTCAACTTGCATGTACAATGTACGTGATGTGGATATACATTATACATCAGATAGAAAATAGAATAGATTCAAATATTGTTATTAATTGATTTAAAGACATTTATTAATTACAAGATAATAGTAATTGATCAGTAATTATCCAATTAACTTACTAATCACGTGCTCACTCAGGTGACAGCACGAACCAGGCCCAACTGAAACCCCTCTCGTTTGATCCTCCTGTCTCTATTGTAAAGATTACTTCCTCTAAAGGATCAGATGGGCACACCCTGGCTCTGACTAGAGATGGCGCTGTCTATACGTGGGGCGACGGTGAGTTTTACAATAGTAGGGATAACATGTTACCTGATCAGTGATCTGCTTAGTATTCATATCATAGTATTGATATCAATATAAGTATAGTAATTGTTCATTGAGTAGACAATAGACATATAAAATTAAATATTAATCGGACGTAAAATGTGAATCTTGTAGTGCAGTGGCTGATAGTATTTCATGTGATGAAATACAGTGTCACGAGGCTTAATTCACTAGTTGTAATTGTGGTTATTACACTGTACTGTCGTAATGTATTCATGTGTAATATCTGCAATGTTAACATTAGATACATTAGACATTGTCTACATTAGATACAACAATAATTGATATAACAATAATTGAAATAGTGCAGTGTGTGTTACCCAACGTGACTATTATAATTGACGCTGTTAAAATTATATCATGTGCTTAACAATTTCAGTAATTTCTCATTATGTTGTAAACTTGAAGATGGATAATGCCGAAATGCGTATAAATGGAATCTAATTATCTAAATACCTATTATTGACGGTGAAATTTATCAAACGTGCTGCAAAATATGTTTGGCCGATATTAATTTGTTGATAAAACGGAAAAAGTGTAAGCCAGTTAGTGAGTTAGATACTGTTCAAATAAGAAAACGCTCAATCTTTAGAATGATAGATGGGTATTTGTTTTGTGAACCCATTCATACACATAACATGAGCGTAGTTATATAAAACAAATTCCTGCGGTGGATAACTGCTGTCTTGTTAAGTGTACGTACATAGAAACACCTCAACTTTAATGTTACACCAAGTAAGAGAGTATGCGGTGAGCTGCTTCGCAAGCAGTGTAAAACATCTTCTTGTTCTGGTATCATCCTGATCTTTGTGTTACTTCATCAGAATCGTTAAAAGGGTGATAGAACGGCTCCTGAATTAGGTATACGAACAGGAAGTACCGGGGTATATCATACATTGTCTTCTGGCTTGATTTTTATCTGATACTTATCTAGAGAGAAGGAGACTGTGTAGTTATTATGATTAGATGTAGATTCTCAAATATTTGACAGTGGAATACAAATGTTTAATTTAGTGGCTCATTGAATCTCTGGTTAGTGTACAATAACGGATATTACAACAGCATTGGACCCAGAAAACAGCTTCTTTTATCGCTCAGTACGTTCTAAGCTGCTCTTTCAAACTAGCGGCTGTTCAGAATCAGAGACATCTAGCTGCACCTGCTTCCCTTAACTAACAAAATTCATTAGTAATAGAAATATTGAAAAACAACTAATTTTCAGGAGATTACGGAAAGTTAGGCCACGGTAACACCAGTACACAGAAGACACCAAAACTACTTCTCGGCCCACTGTCAGGGAAGGTAGTAGTCAATGTAAGCGCTGGGTATAGGCACAGTGCTTGCGTTTGTGAGGTATGATTGGATTACTTTTATATTTGTATCTTTAAACTTAACTTAACCACGAACGCTTTGCATCTAAACAGAAGAAATTATTCGCAATGAACACTACAGTGAATTATCCACACGACTGTAAATAATCATTTGAATCAATCAAATGCTATAATAAGTCTGTAATTGATGCTCAAATATTTGATATAAAATCCCTGCTTTATTTTAACCACACCACTGTGTTCAGGACGGGACTCTGTGGACGTGGGGTGAGGGAGATTATGGAAGATTGGGACACGGAGATACACTTAGTAGAGATAGCCCTAAATGTGTTGTTGATATCAATAATGTAGGACAGGTATGTCATTGTTTGTTTTGTTGCAATTTAATAAGTGATCAATTGGCGCTACGCGGATCCAATTAGATTTTGAATCGTGGGCCAATTTTAAATTTTGCCATGTTTTGTACCAGTTCGAATATGCAGGTTTTGTAACGCGCGATGACTTTTTAAATAAGAGATTGATCTAGTTTCGGCCACTACTATGATACCGAAACGCGCGCGCGTGCCGCGCGTTCAAAACAACTCCACAATGTATACATGATACAACTTTGCAGGAGACTCCAGCCGTTTAGTCGAAAATAAATCGATTTCGAATAATTTGACTGAGTTATTTTGAGATGCTGTCAATGTTTAATTTTTATCGTGTTTACATGGTAAAACACTAATTTGCGAATTATATCAGGCACATACCATTATATTGTATCTTGACAGAAAGATAATTTCTTGGCACTTAATCCGGTTTTGTAAATCGGCTGGAATTAAAGCAAGATATCATCCACTTTTTACTATAATAATCTATCTTTTGATCAGGTTTCGTGCGGCAGCTCCCACACTTTGGCGGTGTCTAAAGACGGAAGGACGACATGGTCATTTGGCGGTGGTGATAACGGCAAGTTAGGACACGGTGATACTGCCAGAGTTTTCAGACCAAAGGTTTGAGAGTTGACTGCTTAGAAAATATAAGATATCATCATTATTCTTAAGCTTAATTTTGTCTCTAAAACATATGAAGAACTCCTTCAGGTTGAAGATTACGCAATAGTCCATTATTAGATTATTGGTTTGAAACTAATTTTAATAGCTAAATTGTTCCCCAGGTTATAGAAGCGCTGAGTGGAGTAGTTGTAACCAAGCTCACTTGCGGTTCTCAGTTCTCCATGGCACTCACTGCCATCGCTCAAGTTTACACTTGGGGCTCCGGACCATGTCTAGGACAGGTAACATCTGACTTACCCACCTGTTACCCACCTTCATTGTTACCCACCTGCTGGCTTGCTACATGCCTTTTCGTCTTCATTCTCTTAGCTTACAACATCTCGCAGTTGGATAAAAATTCGTGATCAACGATATCAGGATAAAATTAAGACTTGTGAGCGGTATAAGTAAGGCTTTATAAAAATACATCAGGGATCTAGAGTGCGAAATGAATTTAGATTGAGGGTATGATGAGTGTGTTTGTTAACTAGTTTTATGGGGGATGTGAATAGTTCTGTTTTATCATTGTGAGGCAAAGTGTATGTTATAAAGTTAGACAAAAGTCATTCGCAACAAACTTTAATGAATTTCTAATTTTAGGATTTATCCTGGATTATACTTATTTTATTCTGAATTAAAATAGCCGTAAAAGGAAACCAAACAAAACCAACCTCAAGATTACAGAAAATTTAGATACGCCCAAACTCCTGATCAGGGAACCCCAGACGCAACAGAGCTGACACCCCGCATAGTGGAAGAGTTGCTGAACTACCGGATAATCGACATCAGTGCAGGAGATAGTCACGCACTGGCGCTGACTCACGACAGTACTGTTTACGCGTGGGGCAACAACTCTGTGGGACAGTGCGGACAGGTAAATGTTATTGGGGGGCTGTGGATAAAGGGAGCTGTAGAGAGAGGGGAGGGTTTTTGATCTGGTTTTAAGGAAAAGTCTGTTAGCATGAGATTCAAAGTTAATTTGGTTGACATCTGACGCCATTTACCTCTGTCTCCCGTCGCGAAACATGTCCGTATCTTTAAGCTATCTTATATCCCTAATGTTTGCTCTACCAGGGTAACTGTCACAGTCCAGTATCCAAACCACGGAAAGTAGCCGGTCTGGAGAATACTCCTATACATCAGATAAGTGCGGGAACATCTCACTCAGTTGCCTGGACTGCTATACCCACTGATAGAAAGGTTTGTTTACTGTTGTTGGGAGTCTACCACTTTGGCTATCAATTGTTGTGGATATTGAATGTGAATTCAATCACTTGTTTCGTACAGAGAGTATAAGTATAACCTGATAACCTCGTCATTCATTGAATAGAATGTCATAAATAATGTTATAAACAATTTGTTGTGAATATTTTATTGACGCAATATTTTGTGATGTTCGTTCAAGAGTCGCTGTTACCTATTGGTGCTTATCGTTGTTCTGGTCAAAAGATTTAATATTGCTGATTTGCAAAAATTTGATCAATTATTATTAAATTTTACCTTTTTCCAATCAATTAATTTCGATAGCTAATTATCACCAGCTGAACATTTTCACTGGTCCATCAAATTGTGCTGAGTGTTAAGTTCGCTAATTCCGCAGGGCTCAAAGGTAAAACATGCACAAAAAGTAAGGGAAATATTACATGTTTAGATCGTGAATTCTTGGTTATCTTTCACTTGCCTGTGGGAAACAGTTCTGTAAATTACTTGATGAGATGAAGCACGATAAGATCACCATCAGTTTTAAACTTGTCACCTAACTAAAGTACTCCATCGTCCCAAAAATCTAGAATTGTCACGTGTATTGCTCAGTGAGGGGACTTTGTAAGGGAGCATAATATGTTGGCTAATTGGAACTTTGGTTTTATTGATAAACTAAGTGTAACTGTAAATACACAATGTTGTTAGAACGTTATATATACCATAATATGAAAAAATAACTTGTTCAACTCAATCAGATGACTCTTCAAAGCATGAATAAGTTAATGAATTGATTGTAATATCTGGGGAAGAGTCTCTTAAAAGACCATTTTGATTACTAGAAAGACTGAATGAGTTGGTCGAGATATTTTCTGTTTACTGCTCAACATTTGATATTGTTCTGGATGTGTTCCATTCTTCAGTGTATTTTGATTATCTGGTGATCGTAAACATGACCTTATCTGTTTCAATCTCTATAGACTTGTATATCCTGTTGTGTGATTCTATAGTCGGGTGATTCCTGTTAATCTGTTAACTAATTATTAATTTGTTAATCTGTTCCATGTTACTTGACTTCTACTCAACGTTAATGCTCATTCCGAAAATTATGTTCAAGCTTCTTGATTTCCCGTAGGTAATGACATCTAAAATACACGATCCACGGTAAATAGACTCATTTGCTGTCCTCCAATATCTAACCTCTCCAGGTACTAACGTGGCAGAAACCTTACTGTATTCAGCTTAAACCTGAGACTTTCAGCATGCTGTATACCTTCATGGTAGAGCTCAACAACGGTGAGATTATCTATTACTAGTGGAATACTACTTAATTTGTTTTAATTGACTTATTTGTAAGAATAATTTGTGATCATAAGTCTTGAAAAACACTGATAACAAAAAATATTACTTAGAACTAATAAATTCTGTCGTTACCCTTTCTTTTTATAAAAAGAAAATGTTATATATGCGCATATATATATGCGTCATCATTAATTACCACAATGTAGTAGGTCTATATTATCTTAAGCACTTATTGAAAAAAAGCTAAACTAAACACTGCTAAACTTGTTTCAGATCAAAGTGGGGACCTGAATCAGGAGTTCCTCTACTTGTGTCTCAAGCTGCTCAAAGCTCACTTGGAGTTAGCGGTAAGACTATATTATCTGAGCACGTGATAAAGTTAGTATTATTTGGGAACATTATTGTTTCATTTTTGGGATTTTTGTGACACTGACAATCGACATACAGATTTGCGAGAAACCTACAGCATCTCTTTTTGAGTTATGATGTAATCGGTCCTACCCAAAAGTAAATACTGCCCCTATATATGCTGCCACATCAAAACTAAGATATTAGTTATTCCTCTCTTACCTTTATTTACATCATGACGTAAGAGTGGCACCGTGTAAAACATTGCAACAAGTGATGTCACAATCCCTCATGTGACGTCACACTCCCTCACATGACGTGACGTCACACTCCCTCACATGACGTGACGTCACACTTCCTCACATGACGTGACGTCACACTCCCTCTACGTCATATAAGTGGCACCGTGTAAAACATTGCAACAAGGTTTCAGCTGGTAGAAACAGGAATGTGGTGGGACAGAACTACACAGTGCCAGTAGTGATAACTGACAGACTTACCAGACATTCTATTGGTGTAAGTGGTGTGTACTGACTTGGTGTTCGTGTACTGACAGTGTGTTTAGACTTTAGGGGCTAGCAAACGGAGACCCTGTTTTTGGTTGGTTTGAATACCACGCTGAACAAACAATACAAGTTCATAGCTTAATAAACCGGTACATTGTGATTTGTGAAGCATTTAAAAATTGGAAATTTAGATAGTAAAATAACTGAGACATCAATAATAAACAACTTAACTGACGGCTCACGAAACTTTGTTAACTATTAAATTGACAATTACAAACCACAGTGATGTTACCGGGCAAGTGATTCATCACAAATTCTTCCACCTTTCTCTAGCACGGCACTCTTACCACGGCACTCCCTAACACGGTACTTCTAACACGACACGTTTCCCCAGGTTGCAGGATCCATGTCACAAGGACAGATAATGGGAAGACAGGCTGCCTTACTTAGAGACATGTTATTTAACATGTTGGACTGTCAGCTCCCTGACGATATCCACAAACTGGTAAATATTGTTGCCAAATAATTTGTTTAAATTAATTAACATACGTTCATCGAGCATGTCACGTGACGTCAAATTCCCTCACGTGACGTCACACTCTACAGGTTCGTGACACTCTGGTAATGGGATCTCCAGTCCTGCTCCCTGCCCTAGAAGAGAGAATGCTGCTGCTGAACACACTGTTACCCGAGAGATGGGACACTTTGTCACCTGGGCACTCTCTCCAGTTAACACTTGTACTGAACAGCTTTTTGGAGGATTGCCAAGTTACCCAGCTTCTTGGTGAGTCATTCACCTGGTAATACTGACATGTTCAATCGCAACTTATACAACTTATACAACCAATACAACCAATACAACTAATACAACTTATACAACCAATACAACCAATACAACTTATACAACTTATACAACCAATACAACTTATACAACTTATACAACCAATACAACCAATACAACTAATACAACTTATACAACTTATACAACTTATACAACTTATACAACTTATACAACCAATACAACCAATACAACTAATACAACTTATACAACTTATACAACTTATACAACTTATACAACTTATACAACTTATACAACTTATACAACCAATACAACCAATACAACTAATACAACTTATACAACTTATACAACTTATACAACTTATACAACCAATACAACCAATACAACTTATACAACTTATACAACTTATACAACTTATACAACCAATACAACCAATACAACCAATACAACTAATACAACCAATACAACCAATACAACTAATATACAACTTATGCAACTTATACAACTTATACAACTTGTACAACTTATACAACTTATACAACTTATACAACTTATGCAACTTATACAACTTATACAACTTATACAACTTATACAACTTATACAACTTATACAACCAATACAACTGATACAACTGATACAACTAATACAACTAATATACAACTTATGCAACTTATACAACCAATACAACTAATAAAACTGTTTATTTAAGGGATATTAGCAACATAACAGATCTGCAACTAATAAAACTGTTTATTTAAGGGATATTAGCAACATAACAGATCTGCAACTAATAAAACTGTTTATTTAAGGGATATTAGCAACATAACAGATCTGCAACTAATAAAACTGTTTATTTAAGGGATATTAGCAACATAACAGATCTGCAACTAATAAAACTGTTTATTTAAGGGATATTAGCAACATAACAACCTATACAACTAATAAAACTGTTTATTTAAGGGATATTAGCAACATAACAACCTATACAACTAATAAAACTGTTTATTTAAGGGATATTAGCAACATAACAGATCTGCAACTAATAAAACTGTTTATTTAAGGGATATTAGCAACATAACAGATCTGCAACTAATAAAACTGTTTATTTAAGGGATATTAGCAACATAACAGATCTGCAACTAATAAAACTGTTTATTTAAGGGATATTAGCAACATAACAACCTATACAACTAATAAAACTGTTTATTTAAGGGATATTAGCAACATAACAGATCTGCAACTAATAAAACTGTTTATTTAAGGGATATTAGCAACATAACAGATCTGCAACTAATAAAACTGTTTATTTAAGGGATATAAGCAACATAACAACCTATACAACTAATAAAACTGTTTATTTAAGGGATATTAGCAACATAACAACCTATACAACTAATAAAACTGTTTATTTAAGGGATATTAGCAACATAACAGATCTGCAACTAATAAAACTGTTTATTTAAGGGATATTAGCAACATAACAACCTATACAACTAATAAAACTGTTTATTTAAGGGATATTAGCAACATAACAGATCTGCAACTAATAAAACTGTTTATTTAAGGGATATAAGCAACATAACAACCTATACAACTAATAAAACTGTTTATTTAAGGGATATTAGCAACATAACAACCTATACAACTAATAAAACTGTTTATTTAAGGGATATTAGCAACATAACAGATCTGCAACTAATAAAACTGTTTATTTAAGGGATATTAGCAACATAACAACCTATACAACTAATAAAACTGTTTATTTAAGGGATATTAGCAACATAACAGATCTTATAATTTGTACTACCCAACATTACCACTAACCCGACATTGTCCCAGGCCTAACAGACTCAAGGAAAGAGAAGAGAAGTTTGTCTGCCTCGTTAATGAAGCTGCTTTTGAAGATGACGTCATCACACACAAACACTCTTCTGGATTGTGTGGAGGAAGAATCCATCTCCTCTATTGGTTAATATTTAATAACCTTTTCTGAAAAACTTAAGAGATACCTAATTTTGAGAGATACCTAACTTGAGAGATACCTAATTTTTCGTGCTTTGCTAATTGCTTCTTATTAAACTGAATTAATTATTGAGTTAGTAATTTGTAATTCGTTTACTTTCTATCAGCTGATATACACGTGGAGAATAGCAAGTGTCCAGTTCCCCCTCACCATCTTTACAAGCTACTACTCTGTCTACATAAACATATCCTGGCTTTCTGCTACGCTAAGGTGACTTTTTATTGAACTTACTTCGCCAACATTTATTAATACAATAAGATAATAAGGTTGAAACGTTGACGTATTTGAAAAACTAGGAACCAGCGTAAGTACTGCACATGAAATAATCCCACGTGACTTCATTTGTCACGTGACTTCACTCCGTATTTCAGGGTCCCTCAGAAGCAGGTTCAGTGCTAGAACTGCTGCGAGATCACGTCAAGCTGTTGCTTAGTAACGCTCGTGATCTGATAAACAGATGTACTGAAGTGATAAAAGCGCGAGGAGTCGATCATACTGTAGTTGAGGGTACGTTCTCCTGAGTCCCGACTTCCCTTAATTATTTGGGAGAAAAAAGTAAAAACGTTTTTAACTCCCCCATTCAGCAATCAGCATTATTATGTACCTAGTTCCTAACTCCTTTAGTTGTTATCCCTCTAACATTTACTACGATTAACTATCTCTTGACCCCTCCCGCTAGGCTCTAATATAAACCCCTCCCTCACCAGGTATCATCTACCCCTCCCTCCCGGGACAGATCCTCCACCAGCTCCTATACGGTCTCCTCTCCCTACCACCAACATCCCTCAAACCTCTCCTCCCTGACGCTACAGCTCTCCTCATCTCCCTCGACACCCTCGCTCAGAGTATCTCAAGTCTGGGGGTTACCGAGAGTGTGGAGCTCGCTGAGGATCTTATCAGTGAGTCTTCAAACACAAGGATAATTTTTGTGGCGAATTTTATAGTAAGATTTAGAGTTAAGTTGTTGTGACGGGAAGGTGGATATGGTTTTATTTTTGTTAATCGCAGGAGTTTGTTGTATAAGATTGAAGGAAAAAGTTGGTGAGTGTATGAAACATGTGGGTCTTACTAAATCTGCCAAAAATTGGACAGATTCTCAATGTTGGGTTTCCAATTTTTAAACGAAGGACATGAGTTCAAGCTGTAAAGTTAAACCGTATTTTTATTATTCTAAAGAAACTCGAGAAAAAAAGTACAATTTAGTAGATCAGTATAAGATTTTAAAAGGTAGGGGATATTTTCCGATAATACTGAACATTAGCCTATAGGCGGATATAGGACTAGTTTATATATATCCTTATCTCAATATAAATTGAGTTTTTACGCACTGCATGTCTGTTGGACGCATGATTTCGAAGATTAACTTTTTAAACTTTTGTTAGTTTTACATTCTTTTCCCGGACTCTCCAACTACGTTTTCAGAATTTGAAACTGTTCAATTTCAAACTATTGGTCAATAGAACCAATAAGATTATCTACTGATTTTAGTTTAAATCAGCAAGACAGCCAGCAGATAATATCAAGCTGACGTCACATCTTTCTGATGACGTCACACCATTCTGATGACGTCACACCATTCTGATGACGTAACACTCCGCAGGACCTCAACAAGAGAACCGATCACACCACGGTGGTCCGTGGAGGTGGTTACTGGACGTGTCACGTGCTACAGGCTACCTGGTGGGACTCCTTATATCTGGTATGGTAGAGGTTAGTGAAGGGTTGGGAGTCTGATCACAGTGTGTTTAACTTTAAGTTGGATCTTCGACAAAGTATTTGCCAGATCTATGCTATGCTCGAAAATTAGAAAATTAATCTAAATTAGCAACTTTGCATCCTCCTTTCTCCTCAATTCACTTTTTTCACACTTATTTGTACAGGGCGGAGAGACGACTGAGGAGGAAAAGAAATATTCTGAAATTCTACAATCTCACATTCTGAACCACGGTCTCGAAGAGGCATTCCTTCATTCTGGTATGTAATTACCTTGTTATTTAATTGGGTGATTAACTAATTACTGTCGCAGTTTCTTCCATGATGGGGTAGATGAAAATCGATTTTCTTACTATTCATTAAGTCATTCTTTACCTTTTTGATTTCACGTTCCATCGTTTAGTTAAAGACATAAAAGACCTGTCAGCCTCTATTGAAAGTTTTATGAATAAGTTCAAAATAACGCTACCATTGAGTGAGTTGTGAAGCAGTTCCTAATTTTCCTAGCACGTGCCCAATTTTCATAGCACGTGCCCAATTTTCTTAGCACGTGCCCAATTTTCCTAGCACGTGCCCACTTTTCTTAGCACGTGCTATAATAACTGAATGTGGAAGCTTATTGTATTGACAAAGTAAATACATATTGAGTAAGGTACACAGCTAGTATTATAAAGGTTTTGTTAATATACACCAATTGCAAAAAGACGAATTTCAAAATTACTTTTAAGGCACACTTATTCTCAATGTTTCTAAGATTTCAGGAAGCATGAAATTTAACCTAGGCGCACACAGCATATAATACCATGTGGGATCTTCATATCATAACCTGTAATTCTTTGATATTGTTAAAGCACTATCGCATCATCCCACATTACGAAAAATAATAAACGGAACTTCTTTGAGATGATAACCTTAACATAAAATAACTTAAAAATCTAAAACTTGTTTTAAAGAAGCACGGTAGGTAAGTAGTCAGTCTCAGCTAAGTGAGATAATTTTCAAAGTGATGTGAGAAACTACAGACTGAACTCCCGTATAACAAGCCCGTTCTTCCAACGAAGTCCGAATCCCACAAATTTGGAAAACTTTTAAAATTCATAAATATTGAACATTGCAAAATTTCAGTACCACCTGAACTGGCTTCTTTGTCTATAGGTAGGTTGGATGTGTAATAGTTCTCATTACACTTGGTGAGCTAGAACTTATCTCCTAATTGGGTTGCACCACGTGACCACGTGAGCCGAGCACGTGATCGTGATTTAGTGTCACATCTAAAAATTGGCTAAAAACTCCTCCTGTGCAACTTGATTAGGTGAGGATAGTTTTAGTTCACCCTGTTTCACTGTATTGATTATGCTAATCTTTAGAATGGTCTTCATTTTGATAATTCTTCTCGTTCTTGATCGATTTGTGTCCCTCTTGCATGCTTGATTTGTGCTGCTTCTCTTGAAAAATATGTATCGATTCACGTAATTAATAATATATGTAGACTGTAGAGTTTCAACTGTATTCTTAAATATAAAAAGAGTTGTTAGAAAGGCAAATGAAAAAATCATCAGTACCACCTAAAAGAAGCATCAAGCCAATGAAAAAATGAAATACCAGCCCACTTATCAGCTACCTAAACGATAACATTTAAATAGCACGTACCAGTACCAATACCTATACCAGTTGATAACCGATCAAAAACTCAAAAAACTCTTAAAGTTATGAAACCATAGCAATATATTGCGTTTACGAATAAGGCCATAACGAACATTTTGTAACTCTTGTTTTACTCTCTTTGAGCGTCCCTTTATTATTGAACCACTTCTCCACGTTAATTATCATGCACTAATTACTAAATTACTAATTACTAATTACTAATTACAGAGAACTCCCAAGCAGACCTGCTGTCTGATAAATACAACCCTCCCCGGTATCGCCTTCTCTGGGACATAAGCAGGGCTAAGTCAGGGACTGAGCATATCTTCCACTCCATGATGAATCACGCTGTCAACAACGGTGCGTCTCAATCGTTTTTCGGCGAACATTTAAAATCGTATTTGAGGTTCAATAACAAAATTTGCTGACGCTACTGTGCTTTACTTGAATTTGTCGTATCACGAGGTATCATGTTGTAACTTGTTAAAACATCAGAGTTTGAGACGTTTGAAGACAGTTGTCCTCAACTAGCAGCCGTTACCCAGCGGTTATTAGCCTGTTTCATCAAACACTGTGGTCTTCTTGCTGTCGCTTTTAATACTCACGAGAGGTAATATTTTCTTATTTGGTTTGCGTTGCTTGAATTATTTTTCTAATTACATGAATAAGTTAATGAAATGTCCACGTGAAACTAAAATTAAATTCTTGAAATTAAGTATTACACAAAAAATAATGCAAACTGAAAACCTCATTAACACTGGACCACTTCTTTCAGAGACACGCCATGTAGCGAGTTGATTGAGATTTACGAGGCAATATTCTCACTAAGACAGACTTTAGTACAGTCACGTGACGTACAGCGGAGGAAGACATCTGAGAGTGAAACTAAACCACCTGACGCTAAGAGAGGGAGATGGGCTACCTCCACGGTTAGATTTAAACAGTTTTCACAGTAGCTGGGAATTTAGTTTAACTGTGAACCGGAATTTTTTGTAACCCATATTCGACTTTTGAAACTGTGACACAATAACAGCCATTTCAAATTATAACCCCATGTTTAAATGTACCAGAGACCAGCCGCCGCCCCAATGACAGCTACCACAACCTCTACCACAACCTCTACCACAACCACCACCACAGCTGCCGCTACCTCCACCTCCCTGACAGACCTAATACAGCCCACTCTCCACTACTTCCAGTCCCGACCCAGTAAGACGGGGGAGGAACCTGCTCCGGAGGACACTGCTGAGGTGGATCACAACCATTACAGCTATGTGAGTTATTCTGTTTTATTAGCAGGGTGGTGGGGGAATTGTTGTGGAGGAGGGTTAAGAACTGACTTAACAAAAGCGAAATTTGTATTATACTGTGCCAGACAGTTTGATTAAAACATTACTGACATGGTTCAAAGTTGACATTCAAACTTTCAATTACAAGAAATCTTGAATAGTTGAATACGGCCGTAGCATATCTCAGCCACGAATCTTTTTTAAATGAGAGATTTTTAGAAAAACAATATATCAAAGTAGTATATAGGAGATCAAGTGCTATTCAGCGTTTCAGCAAATACAAAATCAAATACTTATCGAAACTTCATACTAACTGGTTTGGGTGCAAATTATCTCCCACCAATTTTTAGATACGATTAAATAAGTCATAAATTGATAATTTAGTTAAATGAGCGTTAAATAAAAATGTTGAACACAAAAGGCGAAAATTTGCTAATTGGATAAGATGCAGAGATGCTTATAATATATCTTTAAACGAAGATAAAACTTAAACTGGCCACTTCTTGAAAACTTGTTTAGCCATTCATTTAGTCTAACTCAATTATGAATCGCAGTATGATTAAAGCGTTTCAACTGATCAGGTGCTGTTCAAGGTTTTGCACACATCATCACAATCACAGTAGATTATCACTCGACAAATTCCTGAATTACGAACTTATTTTTCTTCATCATGTCAAACTATACCGATTAAAGTTTTTGCATTTCCATATGGGATGGTGTTGGAGTCGGGTGACAGCTGCCAGCAGGTGTTGAGTTTAGCATGAGGGTGTGTTCTGTTTCTCCACTAGTGTATCCGCTCCTGGCTCCAAATTGACTCGCAATCTTCCCCATAGTCTTCCTTAAGTAAAGCCTCATGTTCCCTGATCTGGAGAAGTAGATGATGGGATTCAGTGCTGAGTTGAGCGGCAGTGCTATCCACGTCATCAACCAATCACGGGTGGTATCTACGTCACATGACATGAACCTCTCAGGAGTAATGATGCACATTAGGGGTACAATGACGTACAGAGAGTTGAGGACACAGAAAAGAACCGAGAGGATAAAGACTGTGGTAGCTGCATCCCGGAAAGCCGTGTCTCCAGGAGTAGTCGCGTGATTCTTCTTTGCTAAAAGTATGAGGGTGACCAGACTGCAGAGAAAGACGAGAACCAGAAGCAGGACAAGATTTGCGGAGTCAAGGACTTGAGCCCACCATGCTACCATCAGCAATTTTCCGCGATCACCCTTGTAAACACTGTAACCAAGGATATTAATGATCACTGTTGTTATGATCATAAAGGCAACATAGATCCCCACAGCTATTTTTATAGCTAATCTGTTGATATGTAAGAACGGATTCCAAAAGAGAATGAGCCTTGTTGAACTAAGAATACACGTAGCGAAGCCAGTGCATTGGATAGAAGCCGTAAACAGATCGAGTGAGGTGTTCATTGCATACCTTAAAGGTAAGTTCTCATAATTGAAGAAGTTAAGATCTATCTGATAGAAAGCACCTACCAAGAACGCAGAGATACATACCACAATATCAAATCCATTAAGAAGCATGAGAAGGAAATCCAGGTCTCTCTTTTCAGGATTAGATATGAAGTAGCTGAGGGATAGCGTGTTCGTGAATGTTCCAAGGATGGCTACTAGGGCATTGCAGATAGGTTTTACTATAGCGGCAGCAACAGACTCAATAGGTGCAGCAGTCGTTGTCATCTCTCTGTTATGTTAGTGGAACTGGTTATATTGGGAGGAATTGTTGTTTATCTTACTAGATATAAAGCGAGACGATATTTATATATGTTTTATATATATTCGTACCATTTTACTGACACCACGGCATCAACTTTTTAAAAAGAATGTTCCGCAAAAACCGTAAAAGATATAAAACTGAAACTTTTGTTGTCTGGGTCAAATGCCTAATAAATAAAAAATTGACCAAGGAATAATAATTTTAGTGCCCAAAATTTGGACTCCCAAGTGATATAAAAAACGCGAATTAAATAGGAAATAATCATTTTAGTCTCTTGAGTTTTGACACCACTATAGGGTTAGACGTTTTCCTGCTAGTATATTAAAGTCATTATATTATTGTAACGGTATATTAGAACCAGACAATAACAAAGTGTGACAGTGAAGGGCCGGATCTAATGAACATTTATCAGACTCAATTATAGTATTCAAAAGATGATGGTATTGCTTATTGTCCATCTATAATCTGTTTCCTGATTAGATTAAAAATATTTTATTGTTTAGAATGCTAAAAAGTTGCGTTGCCAGAAACTATTGTAGATTTTAAACAATGAACAGTAGAAAGATCACTTAAACCAGTAGAACTACTCAGCCATCCTGTCTTTTGAAGCAAATGACTTAAAATACAAACAAAAGCGCCATCAACTAAGCAAAACAGTCTAGACTCTAACTCTAAACAGTTTAACTGCAAAAAACAAACTATTCGTATCACTTATATGTTTTAGATAATCCCCCTCCAAGTTTAACTCTAACCTTCTAAAGAAATGAATACCTTAAGAACGACAAATTTAGTCTACCCTAAATTTAGTCAAACTTTTAGTCAAATTATGGTAACATAAATTATGGTAACCAAATTTATTGTGAACCAAATTTATTGGCCATAAGGTAAGTGTGAAATAGACATGCAACTAATCAGACAATAGGCTTATACTTATCCTTTCATAGACCGTCAGAGTTAATCCCAAACAAAATGGAGGCAACAGATAGCACTGTAATAAGCATGCCGAACAGCAGTCTGTATTGACACTGGGATTACATTACTACATGCAAACAATTTGTTGTTGGCAGAATCAAAGAATTCAGGTGGCCGTGCTTAAGTCTTCATGGATAGTGATTTTGAACAGGAAAGAATTATAAAAACAATCTGCACCGACGACAATTGTTTTTTTTTTCCAAAATTTGTCAAGCAGTGTTTTGAAATGGTCAATAAAGTGGTTAGTAAATGGTATGCGTTTGATTAAACTTAACGTTAAAACACATTGAACTATTTGAATTCTATGCTAATAACATGGCGGTTGACTAAGCTGTGGTAGCATCCCAATTAGCAATGGCCGCCAAAAATATAGATATGTTTAAAATATGTGACGCTGCAGTAGATCAAATTTAATTCGACTGACAAACTATGCTATATGTTCAGATCTGAAGTAATGTCCGACCATTAGGATTTTATCAGGCAATTGATGGGGCGGTTCGAGAATGGCCAAGTGCAAATTTTCAATATTTAGTAAATCGAATCGTTAGCCTACAATTTTGATGACGAGAAACTGCGTTGAATTGGTATCAACAAATAGCCGATAGTGGCCAAACAGTAGAGGCATCTGGCGACTAAATGCGCTTCAATTTTGATGCAGGTTAACGACTATAGAAAGTATTTCTATAATCAAACAGTAGAGAGTCATTAAAGTCAAAATAATATAAATATCTCCGGGATTTCGACGCGGGATCATATTATCACTCAGCCCGGCCCGCTGTTAGATAAACATCTCAAGGTGATATCATCCCGCCCCGGAAATTTGTATAAACCCGGCCCGCTTTTTAGTCGTAACTGATGTTTATCATTCAATTCTCCGACTTACAATAATCAATGATACTGCTGATTAGAACTCGATAATAGTAGAACAGTTAGACGCGCGATCACGTGGGCGCGTCACGTGCGTACCACGTGCCACCAATAGCATACGCCGAGTCTATACCACGTGACACGAAAGCGCACCACGTGATATGAAACATCGTAACCGTCCACTTCTTTTACACGCAAATTCCTGAGAACGTTGCCAAAGCAGCTAATTCTTGGAATTTCTCCAACGCGTGGCGTGAGAAGTTGGCGACTAGCCAGCTACCCTTGTAGTTGTCCGTGCCCTAAAAATAGTATTGTTTTGCTTGCTCTCCTTCCAGCTCTTGTTCCTGCTAACGTTCAAGCTATTGCTCCACTATGACAGATCGGTTTGACATTCAGATTGATGAACTGCTTTCCAATCGTGTTCCGGACAGTACAGTTAGAGTCAACAACTGGGCTCTAAACAAATTTAATTCTTGGCTTCAGTCATCCAGATTTGCTCGTGACTTCAATGACTTTGACCAAATTCCTGTTCAACGACTCTTCTAAAGTATAAATCCCTTGTCGAAATCGCCGGAGATAATTATAATCCATAAACACTTCACGCTCAGGGCTAAATAAATGTAATCCCTCAGCTGGCGCTTCGGGATTACATATTAACACAAAACTCGTGCGCTGCGCGCACTCGTGTGCTAGCGCGGGATGATCTGTTATATAAACCCTTTGCGTGGCGGGTTTATGTTATTGTAATTATCGTCTCAAAACATCTGGTGACCAAGCCCCTTCCTAAAACTTTAAAGTAATATGGGTAGTCTGTACCAAATACTTTTACAGTGGAACTTTCTCGGTCATAGAATGAATTAAATGAATTAAATGAATTGACTCCACTGCTCGATTGTGTGGCTTCTTAGTTTTAATCCAAGACGCCTAAATGCTAAAAATTTGAAAAATTTGTGATTATTCCAGACAAGACATGATTACTTCTTACTTCCACGGTCAAAACCTGTAGTACCGAAGTATAAACAACAACGCCTCTTTACAAAATGAACAATGACTACTTATTAATTCCTGATTCACCAAGCGACATTCAAGTGTGATTGATATAGATTTAGATGTCTCGTGAATCAATCAACATGGCATGATTGGATATAAAAACACCTTCTGTTGGAATTCAGATAAGCACTGCACAATGTCAGTAGTACTCAGTGATGGGTATAGGACACTAGGGCGTAGACGTAAGAACGGAGGACACGAGGGCGTAGGACAAAAGGGTGTTACTTTCCTAAAAAAGCTAAAAGAATGGACACGAGGGCGAATCACATGATTCATTTTAGTATGGACACGAAGGCGGAACAAAAACCGTCCTAAATGATGGTTTGAAATTGAGTGAACACACCTCTGACCTCAGTGAAATTCGTCTACCCAAAGTAAATACCCGTTTTTACCCCTGATCTAAACCCGGGTAACCGTAGCGTCAGCGACTGCGATATTTTGAAGGCCAAGTTTGTCACATGAACATCTAGGCAGTGTTTGATTGGTCTAAGCACGTTGCCAAATCTGCTGCTGAGTTGACTGAGATATTTAAGGAAAATCTCTCAATTTTTGGCTCGTTTAAATCTGGGTGATTATTGGGTCACATCACTATGTTTCGTTTCAAATTTACACGTGAGTAGATCCAATTGTTCGAGCTAAGCTTTACCTCAACCAGACTGTTGAGAACATCAAAAAACCCGTTTGTCCGTGTTAAAGTGATTCATGTGATTCGCCCTCGTGTCCACCCTGAGTACTACTCAGCGTGGACACGCCCTCGTGTCCACCCCGTAGGACATAAGGGCGGTACAGAAAGTACCGCTCTTATGTCCTACGCCCTCGTGTCCTCCGCTATTGTGTCCTCCGCCCTCGTGTCCGGTTTCCGTCAGTGATAGGACAGTTTATGACTCACATCATTCAAAGAAGCATGCATTCTCTTCATGGACATCACTCAATAACTAAGAAAAGTTACTAAAATAAATTTAGAAAGCGATACTGTATTTGTTAATTTTATAAAGTTACCAACTCAACAGAATGTATTTAAACCCCTGTATAACTGTATAACAATAAACTCAAATTACATTTTTATTGGTAGACCAAAGATTTAAAATGTCCGCATTATATTCTTGTTTATTTGACCTTAACCAGTTTATAATTGAACCAATTAAAACAAGTACAAGAGAATCCAACGAAAATGATCAAATATTTTGAAATTTTAGTGAAGTCGTTAATGAGGTCTAAGTGGACGGTAATAAATCGACCAAAGAGAAAATAACCAAAACCACGGTCGCGGTAGTTATGAAGTTCCTGGGTTAGGTCTAATATGATCTAAGATGATCTTATTATTGAGCTAAGATTGTTGGACTGCAATAATCGTCTTACTATCTAATCATCAACTTACGACTTACGTAGTTAGACTTCAAAAAGAATAAATGATTTTGGTTGAGGCCGGGCTGGCGGTATTGATATAATATGGTGGAAATTGATTTTATAGTTTTTTGTATTTTGTTTCTGAACGAAGGGAGTGGGATCTAAAAGAAGCTTTTAAAAGAGCCAAAGTTTAATAAGGTCAGCGCTGATGAATAGTCGTATCGCACGCGCAATTTGCAATCACGAATGTTTCAAAAATGCCATTTTTACAACTAAACTTTCATATTCCCCCTAGAAGTGTAAGACTATGAGTGACTGGAAAGTACATTATAATTTTGGAAACAATCATAAAATAAATTCCCATGATTATTTACATAAATCATAATAAAAGACGATCACGTGACCCCACTCTGTCTTCAGATGTGTCAGGAGCTGATGAAAAGATGTGATTTCCTGACCTTCACGGTACAAGCCGGGATTGAGGATGAAGCAGAGACTCCCCCTGACTACCCTCCCAAGAGTGAGTCAGCTGTTCTAATAATAATAATATAGCTTCTATGTTCACTAAAATAAGTGATTAAATAATTATGATAGTTTCCGGAGATAAGATAAATGAAAATGTAGATTAGAAATAATATCTACTACCTCTAACTCCAGTGAGCTACTTTAAATCTAAATAACTCCTCTACACCCTCTGATAGGAGACAATATATAGGAGACAATATATAGGAGACAATATATAGGAGACAATATATAGGAGACAATATATAGGAGACAATATATAGCCTCTATAATTATATATGATTAAATATGTTCACTAAGTGATTCAATAATTATGATATAGTATATTGTATAATAGGAACTGTTCTGTGAAATACCTAAAATAGACTGCCAGCTGTCTGATGCTCTTATGTTTTATTAAATACTGATCAAACTTTACAGAGTACAGCAATTATAACGTATGAAATAAACTCGAATAAATCATTGCCCCCCGTCTGTAAAATCTGATGGGAGACTAACCACGGTACTAACGGTGTGCAGTACAGTAAACACGGTACTGCACAGCTGTAAATGTGCCCGCAATTACATGACCCCTTGTTCAAGGTTAATTTTTCATGAGTTTACGGAGAGATAAGATAAATAACAATGTAGATACGTGAGATAATATTCACTATCTTTATCTCCAGTGAGCTATTAATATAAACTCTGAGACAACTTTTAATAAATCCCCTCCACACAGTGACTCTGATAGGAGACAACATGACACGTGACCCGCCGCTGCGCGCGCTCTCAGAACCGCACGTGCTGATGGGGTCCAGTAGTGAGGACGAGAGTAGTAGTGACGATAGTAGACGACACTTTTCTGATCACCAACTTATCAAGACTTACAGCAAATCTTCCAAAAAGGTACGTCTTCAATCACCAGCCCATGAAAGTTTATTGTTAAAGCAAAGCTTGTATTTGATAGGTTCGTAAAACATGATTTCATAACGAAGTGACGGCAATAATAGACGTCATCGAAAATTAGTGACATCACACGAACAGAAATGCGTCTTCTAATTTGTTAAGATTTATTCTCAGCTGCAAGTTATTCTCAACTGCAAGTTGGAGGGAGACTCGACCAAATTAATTATAGTTCGAAATTTTCTTAAGAATTATAGAAAACTTTTAAGCTATTGGTGTTAAATTGGCAAGTTTTCATAAACGAAATTTTATTATCGGCGCTGATAATCGCTTATTGGGCGCTTTTTCGGCGCTTTTTTTTAAAAAGCCGCCCAATAAGCGATTATCAGCACCGATAATAAAATTTCGTTTATGGAAACTTGCCGTTAAATTGAACAATCGGAAATGATACGTGTAAAGTATCAGCAAGTGGGCGGAGCTACTGATAAAGTATTAACAACGGCGTTTTGGCTAGTGGGTACTGGGTACACAATATACAAAAGGAGGTAAACGACTGAGCATCATGACACCTTGACGCCTTGCATCAGGTGTAAACAAAAGAATTTTACTTGTGGGCATGATGGAATGACTTTACTGCCTCAATATTCAATAGCTTGTATCCCTCTTTATAAGTTTATACTGAGCTGGAGTTCTCTCTTAGTAACCTAGGAACCAAGATTCTTACACTCAATTTGATGATTTGAAACGCTCTCTTTTGGGAGAAACATTAAAATTGTACTGCCACAAACTCTGAACACACAGTTATTGTGCTGTCACTGCTGACCCACTTTGAAGGAAATAGGAATAACAGTAACAAATCAATACTACTTGTGATCAAAATTAATATGTTTGATTATTAACCAACGGTATGCTGATAGCATTGGTAGAATACCATTATAAGGTGCCATTTAGTAGTGCTTATACCATGTAGATGATATTATGTTGATTATAGATTGAAGGAGCTTAATAATATAATTAGAATATTATAATATAATGTCTTTAGCATACAAGGTATTCAGTATAAGTACATCTTCAGACTGATTGTAAACCGGTGGCTTAGTTAAGGTTGTTAGAACTATAGCATTATATATCCCGGTCATTGCAGTAATGCTGATGTATAATCAATAATCATGTTGCTGTAAATATGAACCCCCTGTAGCTGCTGGAACTTTTAGAATAATAATATGTACATTAAACTACAGTATACTAGGTAGTAAAAACACAATATAACTTATCCAGTAGTCGGCAAGTAGAATGTAACCCTAAATAATAAGGATTTCAGAGAACTATTATCAAAACACGCTGTGTTAACTGCTACTCAACAACAAAGCTTATTTAACAACTGAAGACCTCAAATAAAGGCTGTAACTAATAATAATACAGACTTTGGTTGATATTTGATGTTGTTAACATCAAACATGAGCTCCTTTGTGTTGATATCATGTAATCCCCATGTAATTGTGTACAGTACTCAAACACTGCGAAATATGTGGTGTGTTATGTGTAAACAGGCACGTAGACAGGGGGGGGGGCTAGGGGGGCGGCCCCCCCGGAAAAAATCGAACCCCAGAAAAAAAAGCCCCCTAGTCCCCATGGTCGCCTGGTAACTGGGCTGTGTTTATGACTGCAGTCAGTCAAAGATTTGAACTGTGGATTAGTAAATATCTGTCATAAAATCCAAGCAAACATTCTAGAAGACTTCTATAAATAGTCAATAGTGTCCCCTAGACCGTAGGAAATGTAAAAATTTTAAGACGATGAGGCCTGAGTAAGTCGTAAATTCTGATTGGAGAATGCAGATTGCTGTTGTGAAGTTACCAAATTTACGTGAGTTCTTGATTCTTTTCAATCCCAGTTTATTGCTGTCCTACAAATTTCTCTAATGCCAAATGTCGTCTAAAACACCCTGTTTCGCAAAAATTTTCCGGGGGGCTGCGCCCCCTAGCCCCCGCCAAGGGGCTCCGCCCCTGGACCCCGCTGGGGGCTGCGCCCCCAGACCCCTGCCACAGCTTGCTCGCTTCGCTCGCCGACAGCCTCCCTCAAAGAAAAATCATGGCTACGTCCCTGTGTGTAAAGTATTTTACGAGGACGCCTTCGTTATGTCAGTTTTCTAAAATACTTTGCTGTTTTCTGAAATACTTTGCAGTTACTAAAATATTTTGCAGATACTAAAATACATTGCAGTAATGTAGCCAGTACAACGATACAATAACTATGCAAATGATATATAATTCAACATTATCTTCCACGCGTTCAAGAGTCGCTTTTATGTTTTATCTTCTTTCAAATGTAGAATCACTGGCTGGTGACAATGCATTGGTGTAACAAAGGGCCTCGCAGACCCTGCTATGAATAATATTACAAAAAGCTCCAGAGGGAGGGGAGATGGGGGGGGGGGGGGGGCTTGTGCTGTTGGCTTATTTAAACTTGAAAAACTTAAAATTGACTGTCCATCAAAAATCCTAACCAAACGAACACATTAGTAAATTATTTGTTGATTCTGATTTGCGTCAATAAGTTAGACATCTGTCTCGATACTTCTAGAATAATCATAGCGGTTATGTCTATGATATTTAACTAATTAAACTAATTAATTAATTAACTAACTTATGATAAGTATGTGAGACCATACTAAAGATTAATAATAAAATAAATCTCTTATATTATACTTAATCGAGCATGAACATTGAACAACAAACTAACAAATTAATAATTGATAGTGTCGAACAACAAACAAAGACCCATTTACTGATGATAATTAACTAATTAATAATCAATAGTACTGGTGAGACTAGTTGTTGTTAGACACATGATGGGAATGATATACTGAACAGACATGAATTTTAGTATATTTGATATTAATTTAAACATCAATTCCTAAACCACCAGTTATTGAGACTAAGAGATCATGAGTAATAGCGCACACGGCACAATACTGTCTGAACTTCTCAATTATATTTAAATGTTCCTGGGAAGGAAATGTAACAATTCGGGCTCCGGCTAGCTCCAGGAGCTATAAGGAATATATGAATAGAGGCGACTGTTTTCCTCCTCCCAACAAAAGAGACATCCTGTAATACAATTACGAATGATGGTGGCGTTGTGGTTCAGACGTGAGAGCAGCTTATGTGTATTTACTAGAACGTGATTTAGGACGAGTTACCCTGGATATTTTCACTATACTACGATCTTAAGTCACGTCTGTCACGCCCGTTACTTCAACAATGCTTCTCATTTAATAATAAAAGCTACAGTAGCTATTTTTATTGACGAAGCGATGTATCAGAGTCAATATATTTTAATGTTGCCAAGTCACCATTCATTGCATTCCACTTGTAACCCTCCAGGCTGTTAAATTCGCCAAATTTTCGTCAAAAAGTACGGCGTATTTAGAGTTCTCAGAAAGTACGCGAATAATTCGCCAATTAAATTTACAACTTCAAGTTTTAATTTTTAGGGCTGTTAAATTCGCCAAAAAATGCGCAGAAAATTCGGTAAAAATGCGGCAGTGGGTACGCGCAGCATTCGCGAGTCTATAATCTAGTTGAATATGTGAATTGTGACGTTATACTTCAAATCTCAAACTTACAAATCTCGAAAAATAGACTTAACTAGACTGTAGAGGAAATAAAGTAATTTCAAGTATATTAAGAGAAGTTAGTTTACTCCATTGCATAACGTTTTCGGGTATGACCTAAATTTAACCCCTTGCGATCTTGGTCAGTTCCCACGCAAGTCACTAACCAGTAACCACGCACGTGTTGCGGGAAGCACATGTTTTGGCAATATTCCACCATACAAAGCCAGCTTTCGTGAACATTTTGATATGGGCACGTGATTTCCTGTTCCCGTATTTTTTTTAAAGTGCGGCAATTTTCAGAAAAAAAATCGTACGCGAATTTAATTCGAATAATACGTTTAGTGCGAATTTAACCCTGGTAACCCTGTCTCATAATCATGATATAATATACAAAGAATAATACCGCTGTGTTTTCAGATAACATCGGAGCACTTGCTGCAAATACAGAAACAACTGCAACGACTGAACAGACGCAAAGAACGGACTGTGTCCCAGTCTCTTACTCCCTCAGGTTAGTAATTAATAGATAATGATAACTTCCTCACGTGCTGAGCCGCGCTATTATATAATATAATTATATTAAGTTATATATAACTTATATATATATATATATAATATAATTTATATTATATATATAACTTAATATTATATATATAACTTAATAATACCTTACAATTGAGTTATAATTAATTTTAATTGGGAATTAATGATATAAGTTACATTAACTTCAGCTGTTTATATCTAGCTCAATTAATAGAATCTAATAGTCTAAATAACTTAGTCTGTAAACTTGACTAATGGGTAACATTTATTTGACTTTATGGACAGTTGCCGGTTCGTGGGCACTTCGGGAATGTTTTAGTTTCTTTTCAGCCGACATCAGAGCTATATTGTAATTGAATAAATAATAATGTTAGCACCAAATTACGGCAGAATATTTTCAATTTACTCGAGAACATTTAATTGACTTCTTTAATAAACTTATCGTCGGTATTTGACTTATCAGTCATCATCTTACTGATTACAATGGAACTAAGGGGTTTCAAACAAACACGAAACAGACTTTGTGACTTCTTCATGAAATATCTTCTATAATTACTGCTGCGTTGAAGCTCCACAAAAACAAAAACAGGCAGGGTCCTACTATTATTGCTCGTAGATTGTTATACTCCTCATTAACTGTTTCTCTAGAGAAGTTCTATAAACTGAACTAAGGTCAGGGTTCTGACCAGTCGAATCGATGCGGGTTGAAATATTTATTTCAAAACTATTTCAGTGATGGAGAAGATGATGATCAGTCTTAAGAGCTTCCTGATGAACAAAACGATTGAACCTGAGAGCCTATACAAGGCAATGAAGGTAAACTTTAACATTGAAAGTTTAATTCTAGACCTGATTGTAATGTTTTGGAATTGTTTAAATATGATGCCCAATTACCAAAATATCCAATGACTTTAAATTGGATATCTACTTTTGATAAAAATTAAAGGATCAGTTCGTTTTATTAGCAGAAAATAAACAGCTAAAAGGGCAAACCGATCGAGCGGAACCGTGAAAGTCGATGTAATTTTTATAATATAAAGATACAATTCAAGTTGTAAATAACAGAGAATTTAATGAACAAAAAGCTGCACTACATGATCATTATTTCAAAAATCATATCACTTCAAGCATTCTTCACCAAGCTGCTCTATCAACGACATTGCTTAAATAACTTATATATTCTATTTAATAAAGAAATAAATGCTTAGATCACGCCGTATCATTGAGGAAAGGGTTGAGGACAGGTTTGAGCAATTCGATTTTAGCTGCTCCGTAACTAAAGTAACTAAATTACCGACGGCATTCAAATAAAATGAAACAAAACTTACACAAGTGGTTGTTGCAGACCCCATTTCCCTTTAATAACAAGTTGACAACCTATGGAACGGAATGTCAACAGCAGTCACACTCCAAGTCTGCTGTCTTGAGATTTGTAAACTTCAAAGCCCACGTATTTTACTGAAGTGTCCCCTGACTAATGACCAAAATAATAATCACTACAAAATCCAGACAGACCAGAGCGAGTGAAGGCATATTTTATGTTCTGCCTACTGTCGATTGTCTGACTTGATGCTTTTACCTTTGTGAATTTATAAGACGGTTTTTTTACCCGCTTTCAGGCATCAGTCATCGCCCTCAAAAATATCACTATCATCGAGTTCGGGGCAAAAATATTGTATACCTCCAGTTAAAATATCCGGCTCACAATTCAACCTTTACTTATAAAAACTCATTTCAGGATCAGCAGAAGCGAGCAATGACACGTAGACAAGGTTACGAGAAACTTCTGGACTTGGTCAAGGAGGGACATATCCTGTGTGACCGGTCCCCTGACAAGCCGAGTAATCAAGCTAGTGAGGAGTCACGTGATCAAGTTAGTGAGAGTCACGTGGTTTGATGATCAGCACACAGATAGCCCTACTGCTAGCTGCTACCAACAACAAAAGCAAAGGTTCGTATTATTCTCATATTCGCCATATCGTTCGGTGTTTTCCGATAGCAAATTGAATCACGATTATATTCACATATACATATAGGATTGGTGATTGTTTTTACATCGTTATAGTTCACACAGCTAAGTAAATTAATAAATTAACGGATTAATGAAGGATACTAACAGTTATGAAAAAGCCAACAATGAAATTATTCCAAAAAACCAAATAAGGCTGACTAATAGTAATACGGATTAAGGACTGCAAAATTGACAATAGATTAACAGAACATTAGGGCTAGCTCAAAACTTCCTGGCTTCGACTGTCTTATCTTCGCCGTGACGAAAGCAGGACATGGTAAACTTGAAATAATTTAAAGGGTATCATAGTTTATTATATTACTGTGCTACGTATGCTCTTTTTAAAAGCAATGATCACACAATTTGTGTATTGGGGGTACCAACACAGTAAATAATTTGTCAAAATGATTGTTTCTCACGGTGAGAAATTTAATGACGCAAAACGGTTTAAACATTTGAGTAGTGAAATTGACTATAAAAATTCGATGTTGACGCCAAAACTAGACAAAAAACTAATGTACATTAAGTCATGATGATTGCTGAGTTAACTAAAACGGTAAAACGGTAGCCTATATTAATGTAAGCAATCAGTCAAAATCAGGCATCCGATATTAAAGCTGGCCATCAGCCAATAGTACCTTGTTGGCACCCTTTTTATTATTTACTCCCAATCAAGAATTCCCCAATTTTAAAATTAGTACCGCACTACTAGAAGTTATACTGAAATAATGAATCAGATTTTTAAACTATCTCAAATGCTCCAATAATAATGATTTTTTCAGTAAAAAACGAAGTGCAGGGTTTAAAAGCCTGGAATCATTAGTCAATGACTAGACAGCATGGTTATTAAAATGCAAAACAACGAATGTCTTGATTTGAGGCCACATCATGTGACTTGAGGCCACATCACGTGACTTGGGGCCACGTCACGTGACTTGAGGCCACATCACGTGACTTGAGGCCACATCACGTGACTTGAGGCCGCATCACGTGACTTGAGGCCACATCACGTGACTTGAGGCCACATCACGTGACTTGAGGCCACATCACGTGACTTGAGGCCACATCACGTGACTTGAGGCCACATCACGTGACTTGAGGCCACGTCACGTGACTTGAGACCAGGTCACGTGACTTGAGGCCACATCACGTGACTTGGGGCCACATCACGTGACTTGAGGCCACATCACGTGACTTGAAGGCACAACATTTCATTTATGTCCTCTGAATATCATCATGTTAGATGGAAGAAAATGCTTCATAAAACTAATATCGAACTGAAATATGAGCTAACAAAATATATGTTTAAAACTGTACTAGACTGGGACATTACTATTAAGCTATTAGTTACTGCAATGAAATTATCTCACGCTTCTACTTCAACAAGACTTGGTCTGCACTTTACTCCAAAATTTCCCTATATAGTACATAATATATTATATTATCAAAATACTTGTCAAAATGGCTTCAAATGGATTACACAAGGCGGAAATATTGCCACTTTCATACCTTGTGAATTTAAAAACGAACATTGAAAATTTAACCTAGAAAATTCAATCGAGACAAACTGGAGACTGACTTTCCAGGACAAGGGTAAATAAGCTATTAAGTTCTGTAAATTCCTTGCCAAGGAGAAATCTGACGATTTCAGGCTTCTAAATAAATTCAATATTAATTCCTCGGTTTGTTCAATAATTAAACAAACCGAGGAAGGGTGTCATCACGGATTTCCCCTAAATTTAACAGAATTTAAGTATGCGAGGGAATATATGAGTTAAATGATGCCAAAAGTGCCGGATATTTGATATTGCTAGATATATTTACTATAAATAAATTCTTACATTTATTACACGCTTCGATAATAAAATATATGGATACCCAACAAAGATGTACATTTAAGTCATTCAAGCGAGACCTAGTGTTGAAATAACAAGATTATGGACTTTTTTAATCAGTTCAGATTTTATGGACAAATATTTTTATGAAGTAACCAACATTGTGCACTTTCATATCAGCTCAGACATTATGGACAAAAAGTACTACTACTAGAAAAGAACACAGTGATCTGCAATAAAATCATAGTATGAACTGTGTGCATGACATCGATGCCCTCCGACTGTACGTGACCAATAAAAACTGGACAGATATTTTAATTTTTACAATTGTGTAAGAATTACAAATTAGCTTCAACCTCCGTCGGTTCCATAATAGCGAAACAATGAGTCTGGAAATGGTGAAATTGTGAAATTGTGCGCTTTATCTTACTCCTCTATTCTTCTCAAATCATGCTGGTGTTATTCCGCCGAATACTCATACCTAATACCGGTTGGCGGTTAACCACAACAAAAAGTAAACAATGGGTGCTTTCGTAAAAACTAATGTCTGGTTACAAAGTGAACACTAACGTTGAACACCGGGAGGTCTCATATTTTGATTCCCGTTAACGAATTTATATCTTTAATGGTTATACTAATACTGTAATATAACTAACCAATTCCCCAGTTTGTCACTACACGGCAAGTATAGAGAGTTCTTGTATCAAGACACAGAACGAGGTGGAGCTAGCAGTACACCGCGTCATGTCCGCTGTAATTTCTTACCTTCACTCTCGCCCTCTCTGTCCCAAACTCGCTACTGTTGCGCTCTACCTCGTCACTTTCCACTTCAATCAGGTGATTTTAATATGGAGAATCATCCGTTTGGGTCCGCGGTGTTATAATTGGGGACGATAAAGATGAAACCAGACTGAACTTTTATTTAAGAGGACACACAGGAGCCAAGAGATAGCCTTATTATATACCATTACTAAAATTATAATTTGGTATCTTTAGTTAGAATAGATGTTAATTGATGATTAATGGAACTCTTGTTTTCTTTCAGTCGGATGTGTTTTGCCTACATCGTCTGAGCTCTCTCTCGGTGTTTCAAGCACTACTCAGAGACTGCCAGCCTAAAACAGTCATCAGTACTAGATACCCTCAGGTATGCCTCATTTTATCTGTTATCCCTACTAATTTTAACTAATTGTGTGTCAATACGCTGCAAGTACTACTACTAGCAAGTCAATGAGCAAGAAATAATTTGGACAGTCTATTATTTAGTGAGACGTGGACAAAGATAACTCTAACATTACCGTGTACCGGGTAAAAGACTATGTTTATCTTTGGTTATATACCAAACGCGGCAAAATTCAGTATTTTTCCAAGACGAATTCGAAAAATACTGAATAGAACGTTAATAAGTCAAACAAATACAATGCTAAAATATTATTTAGGAATTCTCAATTCGTAGTTAACTTAAACTATACGTAATTTCCACATTACTTGCAGGCTAGTTATGTGCTCTATCGAACAGTCCTACACATGGTACAATTAGTTCTCTCTTCTATCTCTCTACTCCCCCTTCCCAACTACATTCACACCCTCAACCTCCCTGGTGCGTTGTCCAACACAATTATTTGGTGAACTCTTTAGATTAATTATCATTTTGGCCAGGTCTGCCAAGTCGAATCATCGATATAACAGAAATAATGTTATTGTTACGTTTCAATTCAGTGAAGTTTTTGGAAAACCAAACAAATTACCAGCTTCATTATCACTTGGTACCTAATTCGGAGGTTTAAAGTAAATCGATTAAACAATTCATTTAAATTACTTGGCCACTGTTCAGGTACGATGTGGAGAGGGAAAACAGACACATTGGACATGATACCCAACTCCCTCGATCTTCTGAGAAGACAACTAAGTTTGCTTCTCAACCTACTCAAAGGGGTGCGCATTGAGATTTTATTTTTTATTCTTTTTTATAATTATTGTTTAACAAATCGTTAGGATGTAGGAGGTGCTTGGTGCATTCATTTATTCACTTTCAATTATTTCTCATCTTGTTGCACGATAAAATAATGATAGACTAATAACTAAAAACAATCATTGACAATAAACTGGTGACCCACAAAGTTTCAGCCTTCAGGTAAAGATATATTTTTCTTGAAATTTTCTTTACAAACCAGGGCCGGGTCAAGGAAAATTGAATAATTACTAGCCCTTTCAATAGAAGATACAATACAATTAGAATTAAATTATTAAAATAAACAAATATAGACTAAATAAAATTAGTTTAAAGTAAACTCTATACTACACAAAACAATACTGTATACAATACCTTGTCCGGTTACCCATTCAAGGATTGGTGCTGAAAAAAAGTTTGTACATTGTTTATTTGCAAATATACGCAATAGAGATCAATAGAAGAAGAGTAGCTGATACCTGAATTCTAAACTCCGGGCCACTCTTACTTCTTAGTCGAGAACAACTTGTTGCAGAGGTCATCGGAGACTTCTGCATTGCAATCTTGACAAGTCCCACTCTTCTTTTTGTCCTCTTCACATGGCCCACATCCCGACGGCATGGAGTGGCCTTCCCGATTATTCTCGAACGCAGGTGGTATGTCACAGTCCACAGATGGTGTTGTTCATGTCCGGTGATGGATCAGGAAGGAAGTTACAGAGAAGCTGATATGCCAACGGCAAGGTGTAGTAGTCCATTTTTTCCTGGCTCCCGGGCATGTTACAGGTTGCTGTTGAATCTGAACCAGGGAGGCGCTTACAAAGGATCTCCGTTGATGTGTAAAGCGGCCGTCCCAAGTATAGTTGTAACACTTGTAATCTTGTCCCTGTATCACTGGTGCATTACAACCCTCAGTTGTTGATCCTTCACATTCCTCGCATTTACCCTTGTCACCTCCATTTTTTTGGTGTTTGCATTCACCACAAGCATGATAGTTCAATTTTTTATTTGCGGAATAATCATTGAATGTGGTTCTCCGGCATTTTGTATGCTTTGGTCCAGCTGACCTTCTGCATTCGGTTGCTTTGACAGCTCCATGTATGCTCTGGAAGCATCGTATGGCATCTTTGTTGCAGAGTTCGAAATTACAATCGGTACATGCTGTTGAATCACTATTGCAAGGTCCGCAGGTGTCAATATTAGTATAAGTTTTTGTTTGGATTTTATAAGTAAGGTTTGTTGGTACTCTAGTCTTTAGTTTTGCGATGAGCCAAAAAGCGGTTTACAATTGACGACATGATGAGACTGAAACCATACTTTCAGAATTCACCACAAAACTTCAAGTAAGCTGTTAGTGTTTATGTAAGAACATTAGAAGGCTATATTGCGTATAAGAACGTATATTCAATATTAAGATGAAAAATATAACGAACTGGATTTTTGTATGGGCAATGATCAGGAATGCAAATATCTAAAACCAGAGAAGGCGTTCACCAAAGGCAATTTTATTACAGGAATCAGTTGAGCTTCACAGATCAACTACCACTCACGTGCCTTTTGATCCACCCTCACACACCCTGCATGACGAGATGTCACCTCAAAAAAATTCATTGCGTGACGTCACAACTCTTCACACCCCTGCCGCGTTTTATCACTCTTGCACAGAGGATCTCCACCGTTTCGAGCTGGAGGTGGCCGCAAATGAACCACTATTTCCTATTGATGAGCTCTTCATTTTTGATCTGTACATGGTAGGTGAGCTGGGAATATTATAAGGCACGTTCACGTGTTTTGTAGCGAGTGTGGCAAGACATTTACTACGATCGTGGAGAAAATTGTACTATTTTGTGAATTGTGATTGGCGGATGTTCAACGCTGATTCATGATTATTCAGGGACTTCGACGACTTATGTTATACATACTTACAGTTACCTAGAACTGTGGTTAAACTAAATTAACTTTAAAATAATGTACGCAATATTCCGGAACCAAATTCATAAATACAAGACGCGTGATAAACAAATTGTGATTATAAACCACGAGTCATGCCCATAAAACCCCTCTAATCTTTTATTTTATACTTTACCCACCTCATAAAAGACTGTCAAGTGACCCAATGTTGGCTCAGGCACGTGAACGACTGTTGTCGGGGGAAACGCACGGTGGCATGAGTAACAGTGGGTTCGATACTACTTTCTGTCCGCTTCAGTCAACAACTTGTATACACAACAATATTTCCCAGGTAATCGATAACTATAAGATAGTACGGTATGTTAGAAGAACTTTCTCCCTTTATTTTCTATAAAACTAAAAGTAATTCAAAGTGACCTGGAAAGTTAAGGTTATTATTTGGTCACGTGTCTCTTATCTTGAAAACAAACTGTGCTGCACTCTTGACGCAATTTACATTAAATTTCCGACTAATTATAATAGAGCAATAAGAGCTATTAGCGAGTAATTCATTGCCTTATGTTAGGAGTTTTGTTAACAAATCGCAACCCTATCTCAGCTGTTTGGATATTTGAACTTCATCAGCTCAAGTTCCTTCTTCTCCACGTACATGTCCAGTCAGGGGTGGGCTGATCTTCTTATGCAAATATCCGGCCTATCTCGATCTTTCATGTCCTTCAAGGTGAGATAGAGATTCAGGTGGAATGTTCTCGACTGTATCAACATTCTACATGACATTAAGGATGTAATACTAATATAGATATAAAATACAATTATCAGAAACGTTGTGATGAATTATTTGTTTTCTTTTACCCCGATATTTCATCATCTTGGCAACCATAAAATTGATTTTGATCACTCGGTTTCCTGTACATCTCAAAGCCTGCAGAATAAAACAAAGAAACTGTGTCAGGTCCATGTGAGGTTACAAGCGATACAGCTGCTACAAAAGGTCCTCCCGCACTGCAGACCCAAGACTGACATGGCTCTCAATAGAATTGGTAGGTAATTGGTAGGTAATTGGTAGGTAGTTGGTAGGTAATCCCTATATTGTCAGTAAAGTCCATACTCGCTAGTAAAGTCTTTAAAATAACAATAATTATGTAGTAAAGTCCATACTTGCAAGAAAAGTCTTTAAAATAACAGCATTTACAATAAAGTCTTTAGAATAACAAAATTTACAGTTAAGTCCATGCTGGACACACTACCTCACCTGGTGTGGCCGGGTGAAGAGTATGTGTATCCGTGTATTGAGGACACGCCCCAAAATGAGGCTTCAGAGTTCCTGATCTCCACTTTCAACCCTAACAACTCTGTTAATTGCAGGTAAATCTCACATAATATAATGTGTATCACTTATAATATGTTTCTAGAACTCTACTCCAATTCAGACTTACTTTCCCGCTCAATGCTCACTTTAGTCCTATTGTACACAATATATCGCTCCTCTCACCCTACCCACTACAGAGTTGAGCAGGAAGGCCAGACGGTTGTACACAACCTGGGAGGAAGAGGATACTGTCTGGGGTCCACCGCTCTCGGCTACGGCGTCTACTCCTGGAGATTTGTCATCACTAAAGCTAGCTGTGCTAATAACCAACTCGGAATATGTGTTGGCGTTTCCAAGTGAGTGTTAAATTTAGTTGCACTTGTTCACTGAAGAGGTTACAAATAAAAGCTAATTCGCGTGACGTCACAAGCTTTCTCACGCGTGACGTCTCCAGTTGTCTGACGAGACTATCTCTGCAGGTTTCCAGTGAGCGACTACAATCACCGCACTACCACGGATATGTGGCTGTACCGTGGACACACGGGTAATTTGTACAACGAGGGGGAGATGCCTGGGGAACCTTTTTTCCCGCTCTACGGACAAAACGATTACATAACAGGTTATACATTATTATACATTATACATTGTTATATATTGTACTGTTTTACCTTGACTTTATATTTCTGCAGCTTTGCAATTCATAGGATTTTAATTTTTAACCAACACAATTGGGCCTTCTAAACTTCATATGTTCTGAAAATTGAATGACCGTTTTACTGTACGCGCAACTTCTTAAAAACCCTCATCTGAATCCATCCTCAGTCGAACTAAACACAATAAAAGGGACCCTGTCCTTTGCCAAGAACGACGAGTTGCTTAAAGTGGGGTTCACGAACGTGTTCCACCGTGAGTTGTACCCTGTAGTGGTGTTCTACTGTCCTACCCCGGGCGAGTGTGTTAAGATAACGGAACTCAAGGTTATCAGTGTTAACTCTCAGAATACTCACATGGGTCAGTTTAGTAATAATTTAATAATTAGTAATAATAATTAGTAATAAATAATTTATACCTGGTTGTTAGTTAAACTGATGTTAGGCCCTCCTTCAATCTTTGCTTTGTTTTGACGTAGCGATGTTTCATAGTCTCCCCAGATCAAGTGATTAATATACACGATTTATTGATCACGTGATCGAGTAATACTAATAGTTGAGTTTAATTAAGATAACGATAATATTTTGCTATACAAGTAGTTAAATGGCTGCCACCCCAGGAGAGCCGTGGTTAGCCCCCTCAACAGCCGTAGTAACGGAGGCAGTGGTGACACTCCTCGCACATCTTCACAAGCAGGAGATCTGGCAGAGGGTCATCAGCACGGAGATTGTTGAGAGATTGGGTGTTATCACCCAGTACATGCAGGTTCAAACACAAGGAAATGTTTTGTTGCACAAAACAAGTATCAATCTCATCTGTAACCAGTGCTGATTTTACATAATATGTCTAGCCTTAATTTCGTGGAACATTTTGAAACACTTTTGCCGATGATTAATTTGGAAACCTTTCCCAGAAAAAGGGTCAGTCGCCTCACGAGATGGTATCTTCAAATGTTTACAACAGTCTCTGGTCAGCTCTCGCTATTATTGGAGGATACGATCGCGGACTTAGAATCGGATCCAGGTTTATTTTCGAGCACCTTTATTTTGCTAATATCATATTTCAATATGATAAACGTATCGGATTCTAAGCTTGAGAGTTACAATAAGTAATGATATTGATAAGTATCAAATAAGTAACCCCCACATTCAATAACCAAATCACTTAATCATTAATTAGGCCCTAGTATTATGTAGTATTAATTAATTTATTTCAATATTTATTTATTTATTTAAATGATATAATCCTGGTATTTTAGTGTGTTGGGCAACAACTCCTCGAACAGTGGTGTAATTATAAAGTACCTGACGGACAAGAATGTCAGTGTCCTCTGGCACAACAATCTCCAACTCAGGTGATTATTAACAACATACACTTACTGTTAAACTCAGCTCATAAATAACGTCAAGTGCACTTTTAGTTTCTAAGTGATTGGATAAAGTACTTTTTCAAGAGATCTTGCAAAGAAGGAGTTATCAACTTATCCTAATATTTGGGAGCTACCACTTGACATTTTGTGCGCCGACGAAAATAAAGAAAATGGTCTACGTGGAAATAATAACTGCCGACAGGTTAATGGTCAAGGGAAACGCATTTGTTTAATTTTAAATAAAATTACCGGCATATTAATTTCTTGTGTTGGGAGATGATTAAATGAGCGAGACATGAACTAAGGTTACATATTATTATTATTTTAAAGACATGAACTAACAAAAAGATCTACGTTAAATGTAATGCTATTTCAGTGGAAACTGGACAAACGACCGACCAAACACACGAATAAACAAACACACTGACAAACGAAAGAAAGTTCCTCCAAGATACCGTGAACTGTGAGTTAAAAGTCGGCAATTCTTTTGATCGGTATCATCCATATATTATATAATCTATATTATTCAATATAGATAATAGCGCTTTATAGTATTAATGGGACTTATGACAGACCTCTCGTTGGCACTTCATCATTACCCTCTTCTCCCCTCTCTCTCTCTACCCTACGTTTATTTTCTCATTCTTTGACCCTCCTCCACAGAAATGAACCTATAGCAGACCTCTCCCCTTCTCCACGAATGGAAGCTTTGGATCTGGACGAGCTGAACATTCCTTTGAAGCACGTGACGAGTCTTATCGAACTTGGACTCAAGAAACCCGTCATTATCTACAGTAAGATATTTTCCAATAGTGCAATTCTAGACAACCCGTCATCATCTACAGTAAGATATTTTCCAATAGTGCAATTGTAGACAACCCGTCATCATCTACAGTAAGATATTTTCCAATAGTGCAATTCTAGACAACCCGTCATCATCTACAGTAAGATATTTTCCAATAGTGCAATTCTAGACAACCCGTCATCATCTACAGTAAGATATTTTCCAATAGTGCAATTCTAGACAACCCGTCATCATCTACAGTAAGATATTTTCCAATAGTGCAATTCTAGACAACCCGTCATCATCTACAGTAAGATATTTTCCAATAGTGCAATTCTAGACAACCCGTCATCATCTACAGTAAGATATTTTCCAATAGTGCAATTCTAGACAACCCGTCATCATCTACAGTAAGATATTTTCCAATAGTGCAATTCTAGACAACCCGTCATCATCTACAGTAAGATATTTTCCAATAGTGCAATTCTAGACAACCCGTCATCATCTACAGTAAGATATTTTCCAATAGTGCAATTCTAGACAACCCGTCATCATCTACAGTAAGATATTTTCCAATAGTGCAATTCGGTGACTTGCTGTAAAACTAAATAGCACTAGTAATTATAGTATGCATTCACTCATTAAAACCTCACCTCTAATCACCTCTAATCAGGTAACACTGAAGTGAACTATGACATGGCTGTAGAAGTCAACCTGCGGACCCTGTCTCTCCACTTCAACGTGGTTCGTAGCATGGGACTCCTCCTAAAACACAAGACTTACTGCCCTATATTCGGTAAGCTCGACCTGGAGGAACCTGTTAAGAGACTTGTGGAGCTGGCTACATCCACCACTGGTATCCAGGTATAAAGTTTTAGAGTATCTACTATTTTATCTCCAGATTTACGTCACTATATGTCTTCCAGTATAGTATTATAAAGACTCGTGCTCTGTAAATGTTTTACTAAAATAATATAGAGATAATAAGAGCTAACCACTCTAGAGTCTTCAGAAGAATGTGACGCTGGACGAGTTAGAGAGAGTAGCAGCTATCCTAATCAAAGAGCACTTCTCACCTACAATTGATAAGAACAAAGAACAACAACCTGTCCCAGTTCCTCCGCCGACCTCAACTGGCGGCCTCAGTAAGTCTCGTTCGTTCGTTCGTTCGTTCGTTCGTTCGTTCGTTCGTTCGTTCGTTCGTTCGTTCGTTCGTTCGTTCGTTCGTTCGTTCGTTCGTTCGTTCGTTCGTTCGTTCGTTCGTTCGTTCGTTCGTTCGTTCGTTCGTTCGTTCGTTCGTTCGTTCGTTCGTTCGTTCGTTCGTTCGTTCGTTCGTTCGTTCGTTCGTTCGTTCGTTCGTTCGTTCGTTCGTTCGTTCGTTCGTTCGTTCGTTCGTTCGTTCGTTCGTTCGTTCGTTCGTTCGTTCGTTCGTTCGTTCGTTCGTTCGTTCGTTCGTTCGTTCGTTCGTTCGTCCGTCCGTCCGTTCGTTCGTTCGTTCGTTCGTTCGTTCGTTCGTTCGTTCGTTCGTTCGTTCGTTCGTTCGTTCGTTCGTTCGTTCGTTCGTTCGTTCGTTCGTTCGTTCGTTCGTTCGTTCGTTCGTTTTTTTGTTTGTTTGTTTGTTTGTTTGTTTGTTTGTTTGTTTGTTTGTTTGTTTGTTTGTTTGTTTGTTTGTTTGTTTGTTTGTTTGTTTGTTTGTTTGTTTGTTTGTTTGTTTGTTTGTTTGTTTGTTTGTTTGTTTGTTTGTTTGTTTGTTTGTTTGTTTGTTTGTTTGTTTATTTGTTTGTTTGTTTGTTTGTTTGTTTGTTTGTTTGTTTGTTTGTTTGTTCTGCTTTAAGGAGAACAGACTGAAGTTATATAACTATCATAGAAACCACGCCGTCACTTAACACTCACCTCTCAAACACTCTAACTCTCAGTTACCTTAAACCCAGAAAACTTATCTAATCTATATTTAAAGCTTTGTATTAAATTTGTAACGCTTATCATGTGAGCATTGTGTGAAGTGATGATTGTAAGAGTGTATTACGTCTGCGTGTAGTTGTAACTGTGCAAAGAATAGAGCTTGTAAAGCGTGATATGAACGGTTGTAACGCGTGATATAAACGGTTGTAACGCGTGATATAAACGCTTATATAACGCGTGATATAAACGCTTATAACGCGTGATATAAACGCTTATAACGCGTGATATAAACGCTTATAACGCGTGATATAAACGCTATAACGCGTGATATAAACGCTTATAACGCGTGTTTGAATCAGTGACGAATATGTAACCCCCGTGTGTGTGACTACAGGTGAGTTTTGTGTAGACTGTGGCAACCCCTCCCGGACCTACCCCAGCGGGATCACTGTGTGTGGTTGTAGTGGCTCGTTGCCAGGGAGATCTGGTCCTGTAGGGGGCAGCCTCCCTGCTGGTAGCATCCAGCCTACAGGGGTCACCATCCCTCCCCTCACCATAGTTTCACCTCAAAACTGGCATCACAACCCCCTGAGGAGTGAGTACTGAGTAGTGTGTGACGATTTGAGTGCCTTTTTGGGGTTTTCTCCGAGTGTTTGAACTCTCTTTCTTTCTCAGCTGTCTGTGAATGACGAGTGTTTTATTCTAGACTATTCTAGAATCATCTATTTCTAGAATGTCCGATTCTTGGCTGACGTGTGAGATTTGCATGAGTTGATTTGTGTTTTTGTCTGCTGAGACTTGTGAGATTGCGCAACAAAAAAGAGGAGAAATTTCTGAAGGAAAAATTTGCATAGAGTAAATATCCCAGTAATGGTTTTTTTCGTTCTGCTGATAAAATACCAAGATCCAATCAAAATACATGATTACAAGACCAACATAACTTTCATAGCATTCACCTGGCCTCAAAATTTGGAGACTAACGTTGGTTCCTTTTAATGCAGGATCTGTTTTGATAATTCCACTTCTTTTTTAAATTAAGCATATCGCCCTTTAAAACTAAAAGCCATTCTTTGAAGTCTTCACACTTCTTCTGAATTATCATTTTAACTATTTCCGCATTTCTGCATCACTCACAATTCACATCACTTTTGTAATAGTATACGTGTGAACCATCATACTCTGGGGGTTCTTTCCGAAAAAACGTTTAAGTGGCACTTAAGTAGAATTCGTAACTTAAGTCTCATTTCGAAAATACTTTTTGCTTAACTTAGGTAGTGCGCCATCGACAGTGAGCCGCGCGTGCCGACTGTAGGATTGTTTTTTAGCGCTAATTTCGGCCAGCACAATTTTCTTCACACAAATAGATATTAAGTATCCTTCCCGACCTCAGATTGCAACAAAAATTGGAAAGCTTACTCATAGACTTACAAGGAAGGTGTCCGAAAAGTTTAAAGCATATCCAACCATCAGACATTATGTTACAGCTAAAAGCAGCGTATTTTGCCCCATTTTGATCACTATATCAACTCCGATATCCACCAAATTTTTCGGACAGTTGTGAAAGCCCTATTGGAAGGTCGTCGCCAATTTTCAGAATGATCTCATTCAAGGAACTGAAGATATATCCAAATAATACGACAAAAATCAACGAATTTGGTCAAATTTGGTCAAATTACGCGACTTTTATAGCAAATTTTGCTCCAAAAGCCGCGCACCATCAAATATGGCACCTAGGCGAAACTCACTGATCTTTTCATAAAGGTACGACAAATTTGGTATTGTGAAAATTCTCACAGTCTCTAGAAAACAATGGTACAAAAATTTTTAAAATCCGAGCAAGTTTATTTTTATGGTGCACCCCCTACTTAACTTTATGCTTAAGTACCATTTTTTCCTTTTCACCCTTTTGAAAAAAGGCAATAGTGAAAGGTTACGAATGGAGGTTTTTGCAGAAAAACGTGGATTTTGGAGAACGAGATAGGTGGGTTTAAATATGTCGTGTGTCCTTCCTTCCGTTCGTTACCATGCAACGAAAAATTTGGGCGCGCGCGAGGATTGCTTGCGGAGATGTGATGTATAGATAGCCTGTGATCTATGAATGCGCGGCGCGACTGTGTTTTAATGTATATGATGCATGTAATGTATAATATTACTATTAGGTAATACGCCCAATTTGTACGTGGCACGCGTAGTGTATTGATGTGTACACGAGTATAGTTTACCTTTGCTGATAATTTCTTGGTATTACAGATACAAGTTCTTGAATTACAGATACAAGTTAAGTTCTACGGCGATTGAACTGAATTTCAAGTGTTTCCCGTATTTGATGCATAATTTATCAATATTATTATCATGAAGATTGAAGTGAGCTGATTGGAGCTTATAATTTATAGTAAATGTGAAATGGAAATCTAGCGTCCGCCAAAACGAAACAACGGGCGCAATTCTTGTTGACTTAAGTACCGTTTCGGAAAGGACCCCCTATACTTGATTATTAGTAATCTAAATCAGTAATAGTCTCGAAATATACTGCTGCTTTTTGTTTAATAATTGTTAATGTAGCCTGAGTGAATTTGAATGAGCTAGAGCTTGTGCACTTTTCCTTCATGTTTGTAATCCTACTGTACTCGCAAAACCCGCATTTTTATCACTGTGCCCGCAAAATCCCGCACTTTTCAGTGTCGTCCTCGCACCCTCCTGCTGTACCTGCATTTTTCCCGCGCACTGTTCCATCCTCTGGCAGTTTCGGTATATCGACACAAAATCATTTTCTTCTCGGATACAATACCCCATACAACGGTAACGTGTTTTACTTTTCTTCCTTTTTGTTTGCTCAGTCTTTTCGATAAATAAAATTCAGTTGGTTATATTAAACATTAAACAATTTTACTGTCTGTTTTAATTGTCAAATTCTGTTTACCGTCGAAACCTTTTAAATAAATTACGCTTATTTTGACAGGCTTCAAATTCTACAAACAAAACAAATTTAGGCCTTGTTAAACTTTTGTCCCCTGTGAAACCCGATGAAAGGCAAATAAAACATCTGGCAATAATTGTATCTTAAATGGGAGGACCCAGTTTGTTTAACCATTTGAATTTTATATGTCATCATTATATAAGTGTTTCCATAATAAACTTTTATAACTTTTATAATAACGAAACGCTCGGTGAAGTGTGAAACGGATGCGAACTGGGCAAAAGCAATTTTTTTTTAAAACTAGCAAAGTCGTGATGTCTCACGAAGCACTACCTGCTTAATTTTCTCGGGATTACAAAATCATGTTATTGTGGGTTTTTCTATGTTATCCAAAATTGGGTGAACGTTGTATTTAGACCTCTGAATTGTGCAAGTCATGAATAGTACTAGTTAGTGTACATAAACAAGTTATGTAATTAGAGAATTAGATACTGGAGGGGAGTTGAACCATATTTGTCGGAGACACGTGACAGCGATTACCGAATCAGCGTCCATCATAACGCAAAATCACTGTCACGTGTCAAAACAAATACAGTTCACCTCCCCACCTTTACAGAAACCACCTTTATCCCTCACCACTCCCACCAGCGCCGGAAGTTCCAGCTACCACAGGTGTGTTTGGTCCACCCCTGGTGTACTCAAACGTGCCCCAAGCGGGGACCAGTGTGGGACAGACTGTTGGGGACAGCTTCTTTTCTAGCGATCAGATAACGTAAGTAATTAATCAGTGAAATCACGCGTGAGTTATTCATCACGCGTGAGTAATTAATCACGCGTGAGTAATTCATCACGCGTGAGTTATTCATCACGCGTGAGTTATTCATCACGCGTGACTGGTTGGGAACTGTGACATGTGGTATGTTATCTAGGTTTTTCTAACGAATATTAGCGTCCCCTCCCCACTAGTTGTCCAGTCTATTAGGAATTTAAATTATGTTTACCAGTAACCGTAAGCAGTAAGGTACCTTAGCACTAGCCACTAACTTCGATACGAAATTGATATCGAATACCTCCTTATTCCTATTCCTAGACCTCAATGCCTTATATTTCCTATTCCTAGACCTCAATGCCGTTGGCCCATTTTGCCCATAATCCTGACTGACACAAGAGCCCCATCCCGAAGGAACGCCTTGTGCCAACAAGATTGGTAAGCAGTATTGCTTTGCCACGGCCAGTTTAACTGCAGTCTAACTGCAGTCTAACTGCAGTCTAGTAATGCTTTGCCACGGCCAGTTTAACGGAGGTACCATGGTCTGGCTGCTGGGTTTCAGTTTAAAGGCCTTATTGCTATGTTTTATTGGGTCCAAATCTGGGATCTGTATACTAGCCAGTTAGTCAGTACTTAGAATTCTGATATCACGTTTTGATGCTTCACTGCTCTAGTTTTAGTAGGTTTTGATGCTTCACTGCTCTAGTTTTAGTAGGTTTTGATGCTTCACTGCTCTAGTTTTAGTAGGTTTTGATGCTTCACTGCTCTAGTTTTAGTAGGTTTTGACGCTGTTTAGTAGGTTTTGACGCTGTTCCAGTTGACTGGGCTGTCAAGAATTTGATGTATAATTCTTACCGCATGAATGCGCCAAAATTTGCTGCTCTGCTTTAATATCATACCAGTGCTACTTCCAATCTATGATGAAGGATCGGCTGTATGACATTTTAGTCTGACGATTTCATATCAGTCTATAAACTTATAAACTGAAAGGGGGGTGTTATACAACTGTTAAATTTCAGAAACATTATCTTTCCTAAAACTCTGTACAAATTTAATCTAAAACTTCCACTCCAAACTACCGAACATCAGATACCCCCAAACCAGGTCAGTAGTTCGACCTCTCCTAGAAATGGGCTTCACACCGGGACACATTGACCGCGCTTTAGAGGCTGTACCTGACTCCGCCTCTAGAACAATCGACAACCTCATATCCTACATGATAGACAACCCTATAACTGAGGACGAGGTGAGGATTTCCAGTGTGATTTCTTTGTCTGAGTTGGAATGAGAAACTGCTACTTATATACTTCTTGTCACGTGATATGATTGACGATCAGATCTTCGTGAATTAAGTGATATTAATTGCGTTTCGTCTCTGTAAATATCTAAAATATGACTAAATAAACTCGCTAAACTCAGTTCGGGGAGAGTATCTACAGAATGGTGTCACCTAGACAGAGACTGATAGAAGAGATAGACGAGCGGAGAACAGGACCAGCTGCAGGACCAGCTGAAGAGGTACATTTCATGATGTAATGTGACGTCACGTAATATCATGCGACGTCACGCGATATCACGTGATATAATGTGACGTCACGCGATATCACGTGATATAATGTGACGTCACGCGTTTTTTTAACTTCAAACTGTCTCATGTGGCCTCTATAATATGCTTATTGTTTATATTGATCACCTCATCCACTCACTCAAATTCTCCCATTATAATTACACATACGCATTATGCATATCATGTTTTGACTTTTGTCTCTATCGACCTTTTACCGTTATATCAACAATTCTTAAAGACTAGAACACGATACTTGACGATAACAACAATTACTTGACAAATCATTTAAAACGGCTCTCAAAACTGACCAACAACCGACAGCAGTCCTTAACACAAGACAACACAAACTGGTACGAAGAAGATCAGGATATTATCGGGGAAGATCAGGAAGAATATCTTGAAGAGTACAGTTCTGAGGAATACACCACCACCCCACCCTCCTACCCTAACCCACCTGCATCAGCCCTTATGCCTCTATCTCCACCAGTCAATATCCCTCTGATAATTAGAGGTATTACTTGTTACTAATTAGAGGTGTTACTAATTCGAGGTATTACTTGTTATCCATTGGTGGTGATTTGGGGGGAAATTTGTAAGTTAAAAGTGCGTCAAGTGCAAACGAACCATCTGTAGGCTAAACTAAACTCAGATCATCTTAATCAGTTTTGCTTTCTATAAATTTTAAGTTTGTCGAAAACCACAAATGTTGCGATTGACCCAGTCCATGTTATATCCATTAAGGCATAAACCGATATACGCAATCGCCACGAATCGTACGCAGCACGTTCATAAACAGCACTGATATCTCCGCCGCTGACGCGTATGCCAGGTTGTCCTGGAGAAATGACGTGGATCACTTTTCCTCCATATCTCGGGTAATTTACACGTGATTTACACGTGACTTACATGTGACTTACACGTGACTTTGCTATAATTGATGACTGTGTTACCATGACATTATCTGTAATGACGCTGACAACGCTGCATTACCTATACTACTAGTACCGGACAGTTATTTACTTTCTGACTACACGAATTATATTTCTGACGTGTACCGATCTTAAGGGGGCCGGGGGGGGTCTTCATCAAGATTCTCTTGAAATTGACTTTTTAGTTGTTTCTGATAGAGGGGAGTGATATCTATTAGCTGCTTTTGGTCCCAAGGAAAAATATTGTTCCTAGCCAAAATTATCGCCGGTCAAAGGTCAGCGCTTATGTGTAATTGTATTGCGTGAGCGATTTTCAATCGCGCGCCCTGAAATTCGAGTCTAAAAATCTATCTTCTCCTACATTTTTTGAGCAATCACCCTAAAACCTTCAGGATATGTTCTAAGGACCAATTAAAAGAGATTATCTGGCCAGAATTTTGAGACCTCGTTTTTTGACGATTTTTTCAGGTCCAAGATTTTGTAAATTGAATAAAAAATTTTCTAAGGCCTATCTCAAAATTCTGGCCCAGTAATCTCTTCTAATTGGTCCTTAGAACATATCCTGAAAGTTTTAGGGTGATTGCTCAAAAAATGCAGGAGAAGATAGATTTTTAGACTCGATTTTCAGGGCGCACGATTGAAAATCGCTCGCGCAATACAATTACACATAAGCACTGACCTTTGACCGGCAATAATTTCGGGTAGGAACAACATTTTTCCATGGGATCAAAAACAGCTGAGTAGAAGGTACCTAGTATTAGTTACCTTCTACTCTTTTGATGAAGACCCCCCCCCCCCCCCCTGCCCTTTAAATCAGGCGCTCTTATCACCATTAACATCTTCACATTCATTAGTTTAATGAGTTATTTGTTATCACTTCCCGTCATCAAAACATCTCATATAACGTTAAAGAGATCATCTTACCTCCGATCACAGTTTCTTGTCTGTACTCATGTTATCTAATACTGGTTATCTAAATAGACTGAGGAACCCGCGGTAACTGAGCCTGAACAAGTAGGTTGTTAATGATTCGTGTAGTGGTTAGTATCTGTAGCTGTGGGTAGAAAAAGCCTTCATAAAACTATATAGAACTATATAGAACTTTAGTATCTCAAAAATTGCATCGAAAGAGATCTTTTACAGTTTTACTGCCCAGGACATGATTCATATTTACATTTCGGAAATATTGGGTGTGATATTCTCTAGGACACCCATTTATTTCTTGGGCTGTGTCTTGATAAAGAACATAATAATATATTGATTGGTCAGGGAACAGCAGTGTATCCTATCACTGGTAGTAACATAATCCTCCTTTTCTTCCTCCTTTTATTTCTTCCTAAATTTTAGCATTGACTTCTGATAACATTAAAACTTTGCATAAATTCCATGCATATTGCATGAATATGCCTGATCTTGCATAATGCATCCATTAAATTAAAAAAATACTAGCATTAATCCAATTAACGTCAAAAATAACGTATATATAATATAATCGCAGTCCCAGCAAAGTGTAGTTCAGAGACAACGTACCCCCAGCAGAGGGAGATCCCACACAGCTCCAGATCTACTAGGTCCTGCTGTTACTGGTTAGTCAAACACTAGGAAACATTTTATGTTAATCTACTAGGTCCTGCTGTTACTGGTTAGTCAAACACTAGGAAATATTTTATATTAATCTACTATTTCCTGCTGTTACTGGTTAGTCAAACACTAGGAAATATTTTATATTAATCTACTAGTTCCTGCTGTTACTGGTTAGTCAAACACTAGGAAATATTTTATATTAATCTACTAGTTCCTGCTGTTACTGGTTAGTCAAACACTAGAAAATATTTTATATTAATCTACTATTTCCTGCTGTTACTGGTTAGTCAAACACTAGGAAATATTTTATATTAATCTGCAAGGTCCTGCTGTTACTGGTTAGTCAAACACTAGGAAATATTTTATATTAATCTACTAGTTCCTGCTGTTACTGGTTAGTCAAACACTAGGAAATATTTTATATTAATCTACTAGCTCCTGCTGTTACTGGTTAGCCAAACACTAGGAAATATTTTATATTAATCTACTAGGTCCTGCTGTTACTGGTTAGTCAAACACTAGGAAATATTTTATATTGTTACATGAAAGGAGAGTGGGATATCTCAGGAATATAGCAATTATATTGGAAAGTTTAGATTTAAATGATTTTCTTCTTTATCTTTTCTTGGTATTTTCTTAATTTCTATAATGTGGGTTAACATTGCATCACCAATGTTTAGTAAATGTTGTGTGATAAACTCATTCGCTTGTGTGATTGCGGGAACTACTGATTTGTGATATTGTGTGATATTGTGTGATATTGTGTGATATTGTGTGATATTGTGTGACATTGTGTGATATTTTGTGATATTGTGTGATAATGTTCTGATAATGACTGTTCACCAGAGAGCAGTGTGTCGGGTGATCCGTTCCAGGTGCCCGTGGTAGGAACTGCTCCTAACTCACCATACCCTGAGGCTTATCTTAGATCTGTCGGTAAGAGCTGTTATAGGACATTCCAATTTTAATAGATAGAGTTATAATAGGGCACAGATTTAATCTGAACGATTGTGAAATCTTTAAAGACTAATAAGTAAAATTATGATATTTTCAGTATAACATAGCACAGTTTATTTCTCTTCATCTCCAGCATTTTAAAACGAGAAATCAAGAATACTTAAATTCGAATTAACTAATTAACTAATAAAACATTGTTCCCCAGGAATGATCTGTAAAAGAAGCAGTTCCCCGGAGCCGATCTGTTTACCAGAAACTCCTGACCCTCTGGGACGGACCTCTATAGACCCCTACTTCCATGATCCTCCTGTTGATGTAATTAGCTACCTTTTAATTATAATTATGTGATGATAATGTTGATGTAATTAGCTACCTTAAATTTGCTAAGATTACTCAAGGTTGGGTTTGAAGAACTTGGAATATGTTCTCAATTTAAAATAACTTCTCCCTAGATCCTACAGACGACTGTGTCCTCGACGCCTCTCCTCTGTGAACAGGCCATGTCCATCAAGATGGCTGACGACAGGGTTGATGCTCTACAGCGTATTATTGAAACTGCCCAGGTGACTATCAAACTACTACTCTTTATTTGTTAAGGCTAAGATTAATCCATATGAAAATTTGAAATATTCGTTCTTTTTCATTGACTTAGTTTAATCTTCAGGACAACTTACTATACGTTATAATTAGATTTATAATTGAATTTTCTCTAGGTTTTGGTGTCAAGGGAGGTAGTGTGCCACCTGATAAACCTAGTAGCTGTATATCCTCAACACGCACCTGTGAGTACCGTCACCATGTAGCACCATCCTGTCACCATGACGTTTACCAGTGGATATCATGTGTATCAGTGAATTAAAATTAGGTATTTATAACATGGTTCGTTTAACTTTAAAATCAAAGATTCTTTGATTGAAATGTTATATGTAATAATAATGTAAATTTGTCTTCAGGGATTGTGTAACCTAGGGATAGCAAGCGCCCTGCAACCTCTCTGTCACCTAGCAGTCGACATGGCCCAGCAGAAGAACCTGAGCATTAAGTTTAAGAGCTTGTTCCTTGTCCCTCAGATTAAGAGTATTTTTAACATGATGAAGCTCTGCTGTAAGGACGTTAACATCTTTAACAAGCTCACTGATATAGCAGGTAAGATTATAACCGTCTTACTTAATTTAACCCAATTCTACTGTCTAAAACTCTTACTATCTAGCGTTCGATTATAATTAGTTCAGGAATATTGGACATAGGGGTGGGATGGAGGGTAAGGAGGAAGGTAGATTTAGGAGCTTATGAAGAAGAGATTGTTGAATAGTGAACGGTAGAAGGAAGCTAAGGAAGGAAGGGTGGGTAAAGGGATAGTGTGCTCGTGGGTCTGCCAATTTATATATATATACCTAACTTTTCCTGATATTTGCAATAATTAGTTACAATTAAATTTACAGTATCGGAGATACTATCAGCTAGCTGTGGTAACAACCAGGATCTTCTGGAACACGCCATGCGTTCCTCTCCACACACCGTAGCCGGCGAAGGTGAAGTCACTTCAGATCCTAAAACTGCTGTCTCTTTCGTCTTCTCTCAACTGGTGTGTCAGGCGGTAACGTTTGAATTGAAGCGTCTAGCTGGTGTTAAACCACCTGTTGACACCTCCGGGGAGTCTAGTAAACCGAAATCAGAAGACCTGCTTCCTGAAAATCTTGCTGGAAAGGTATTTAGGACGATTTATTATGGTTGTACATTGTACAAACTACAATGTACATTTCAATCTAGCTGAGATAATAACTGAAATTCCGATCTACAACTTGTCGTCAGATTGACGTTGATAACAAGAAGATTCTCTGAACTTTATTATCATTCTTCCTAAACCAAACTATCCTCAGTTGTCAGGCAGTACTAAGCTAGCAGACGCGGTTGCAGCCTGTGGTTACTCCAAACATCTGTCCCAGACTGTTCACATTTGGTCTCTACACATGCTTCATATCATTCTACCAGGTGAAGAATACGCCCCATAATTCGATTAACATTTCCTAAATTCAGAAGTCGCCATTAAACCTTAGAACTACCAATAATATTTACAGAATGGAGTTTAGACAAATAGATACAAGATTATTCGAACATCCTAAGTAAAGGTAATAAACGTTATTTAATTGCAGCTATGAAGAGTTACGTAAGGACTCACAGGGTGGGAGGAGAAAGAAGTACTCCCCGCATTCCTTACCCAATATACCTGACTAACATGGATCCTGCTGATAATCCTGTTAGTACTCTCAATTACTAATCAATTAGTTAATTAATTAGTAGCTGTGGAGAGAGGGGGGTCCTTGAAAAATATAATTTATACGACAGTGTGTAGTGACAGAAGCTTTCAAGAAAACATGTGTTTATCTTCTTCAGCTTGCAATTATATGATTTTACTGTTTGAGTATCCTCACCATGATATTATGAATAATGTTAATCCAACTAAACTAATTAAACTAATTGAATATCCCAGATCACGAGTTTTGACTGTAACATGAAGAAGAACTACGTGGCAACTCTGTGTAGCTCAGATCTGTTCGTTAAGATCTGGAGCATCTCTAGTGCCAAATACCGCCGGGTTAGCACTGTTCGCTCAGCAACAGATTAAACAATTATTTGATTTTAATGATGGGAATAATTATAGGTTTTCTTTTTTGGTCTAGAAATTTTATATTTATTTGTTGGAGTTTTTTGTACAACTAATGGCAGAAATCTTTTTTTTGTGATGCATCAATTAATCAAATTAATCGAGCTAGTCTAATTAATCGAATAATTAAAGTATGAATATTATCACCTAGTTTAATTAATTGTATAATTAAAGTATGAATATTATCATCTAGTTTAATTAATTGTATAATTAAAGTATGAATATTATCACCTAGTTTAATTAATTGTATAATTAAAGTATGAATATTATCATCCAGTTTAATTAATTGTATAATTAAAGTATGAATATTATCATCTAGTTTAATTAATTGTATAATTAAAGTATGAATATTATCATCTAGTTTAATTAATTGTATAATTAAAGTATGAATATTATCAGACGACAGTTCAGGAGTTTACACAGCCGTCTGACGGTCGGGAGGAGACTGAGCCACTACAAAAAGAGGGGAGCTGGATCACACTCAGCGTGAGCGGACTACACGGCGCCGTGGTTGCTGGCAATACTCTTCAGTTTTATCAGGTTTCTTATCGGAGTACTTAATCAATTAATTAATGCTTACAAGGCTTTAGGCCTTAGTCTGATAAATAGTTTGAATTTTTGTTGCTTAAGCTTGTTTAAAGGTATCTTATAACAATGTCGGTAACCTATTAATGCACCACAATACAGCTTATAACACTGATAATTGATAACCACAATTATCAGTGTTCACCGGGTACTCAGCCAGTACAGCTGATCCTATCAAGGGACAAAGTTATGTCCTTAAAATGGTGTCCAGAACTAACTGACCCTGACAAATCTGTCTTCGCTGCGGTTACTCCTACTGCTCTGTTTATTGGTTAGTGTGTTTTATTGGACCTAATCTAGCGTGAGATCCTTCACTATTCAATTGAATTTTATTACTTTTAGAAGCAGATTTTATTGCATTAAGAGAGGTAAATATTATTGAATTCAGAATTTGTCTCAGGTTGGGGGGATAACGTATTTTTTGTTTTTTTTTGTTTTTTTTTGTTTGGGTAAAAGTATTTTTTTTGAAAAAAACATAAACAAAAAAAGAAAAAACCCAAAAAAGGGAGAAAAAAGAAAAAAACCAATGAAATGGTAAAAGAATAGCTCGAAATAGCTCAAATGAATTTTTTGTTTATTTTGTTTTTTTTTGTTTTTTTTGTTTTTTTTTGTTTTTTTTGTTGAGGTTAAAGTAAAATAATCTTGTTTTGCTCTTATGAGTGGGTCAATCATTTATTTTTAATTGTAGTTGACGAAATGAGAGTCTCCACTCAGTGTGTTAAAACATAATTCTTTGTCGACGTTTCGGCTACATGCCTTTGTCATAAACAGGACGTACTGAAAACTTACATAGCTGCAAAGATACAATGTTAAAATAATCTATTAATACTACTAATGTAGTAAGTCCTACATTGGGGAAACTGGTAGGTTTAAAAGAAGTAGAGCCTGGGAACACTACAAATCAGTAAGGGATGGCAACAAATCTACGGCCATGGGGAAGCACTACCTAGAGGAGCATGCAGACATTTCAATGCCAAACATACCGTTTCGGTTTATAGTTCGAAAAAGATGTAAAGACTATGTGGACCGTCAATTGTGGCAGTCGGTTCTAATAAAACGTGAAAACCCAGAAATAAATACTCAATTGTCTGAGTCCGTAAATGAAGGTGATTGGATAAAATATACTTGGAAGTTAATGTAATATTGAACTTATAAACCTAGATAATTTTTGATTAATCAGTTTTATGAAGGAGCTATCTTGGTAAAATGTTTGTAGTACTATGAGGAATTGTTCACGGTTTGTTGCGGTGTGGATTCTTTTAGCCATTATATTTTATGTTTCTTTTGGATAAATTTGTGATTGTTGTTGTGTTTCAAGATATTATTTTTTTGTTGTTATATTTAGTAGTATTAATAGATTATTTTAACATTGTATCTTTGCAGCTATGTAAGTTTTCAGTACGTCCTGTTTATGACAAAGGCATGTAGCCGAAACGTCGACAAAGAATTATGTTTTAACACACTGAGTGGAGACTCTCATTTCGTCAACTACAATTAAAAATAAAAGTTAAAGTAAAATATTTAAAAAAACAAAAAAAAGGGGGGAAAAAAACTAATAAAATGATAAAAATATAGCTCAAAATCTAAATGAATTTTTTGGTTTTTTGGTTTTTTTTGTTACGGGGCCTGTATCGGCCTTACAAAATGACAGTCCACATAGACCATGCTGTAGCTTAGGTTCCCTATACATTGAACCCTATTCCTTTTACTGTATGAAAGAAAAAGCATTAATTAACACTTCCCAAGGAATGATAATGAATCTATATTTCTTACATAAATATGGACGTTTTTGCTGTTCAGTCATTGCCCCGCCTAACTGTTACCCAGAATGGAGACCAAAGTTTAGAATTTAACCCCAGGAAACCAGGTACTACCATGACTTATGTCAATCAAAGACTACTCTGGTCAAATAAAAAAACTGATTTAGTGACTTTGGTAGAAAAAATGACAAAAAAATGACCTAGCTCACAAAATGACAGTTTTATTTTATGATACAAAGATGGCATATTTATATTGGATGCACCTTGAGCTTGCCTAATTATTGGTATTCTAAAACCCAGTAAGCTTATGATGAGCCTAAATGTGTTTGTTTGATCATCAATTTTGATAAAAATGCCTCACAAAATGACACCGAAAAGCCTTACAAAATGACAATGTTTCAGATTGAATTACTTTCATCATCTAAAATGGATCAGAACCATCAATACAAGAAGGAGTTTAAAATAATCATAATCTGACAGTTAACAATCAAGTAGCATTACAAAAGTGCAGCTCTGATATCGAAACTTTGATTTCTAACTCTTTGATTTCAAACTCTGATTTCAAACTCTGATTTCAAAACTCAACGAAATAAAGCTTCTATTTTGTGAAAGCAGAGAGTAATAACAACTCCTAAAACATGTCAAACGTTAACTAAACACTGAAAAGTGATCTATCCAGTCATAGAAAATATCAAATATAACCAAATCGGATTTGAAGTGATGCCGTTTTGGGTTGTCACGCGAAATTTCCCAACTTTTTTAATCATCCTTTTTCCCGTAAAAGCTATTCTAATCTTCAATCTATTATATTTATCTAACTGTCCTAGGCGAAATCAAATTTCTATAGGCTGCTGTTAAAAAATGACAGCCGTGACGAAATTGTCATTTTGTCAGGGTGGGCCAAAAGTCAGTGGGCATACGTTGGCCTTAATAGCTCAGTCACTGAGTGCCCAATTGAAATAATTCTTTCTGGTATGACTTACTACTATCACTGGTTCGAGGAATTTGTCAAATCGAAGAATATTCGAGTTCATTTGTTTCAAATGAAGGTTCATTTTTGCATTTATTTGATAGTTTGGATAGTCGGATCGAACTAAATTTTATTGAATCGTGTTTGGCCATTCGAATTACGTTTGTCCTGAAAAAATTAGAACTTAAGCTTCTCAGATGACCGAGATATGAAGCATAACGAGTTTATTCATTACGTGTGATCAGGTGAATGGTTTACCTAATCACGTGATTAGGTGACCCCGTTAACCACCCCGTTAAACATTATGGGAATTGTTAAGGGTGCCCAATTAAGGTGTCGTGTCACGTTGTCACATAATCACCCAGTCAATTGTGTTAACGAGATACAGAAAATGCTTGATAACTTCTTCATTTCTAATCCGTTTTGCCTCATGTTTTCAGATCATATGCAACATTTAATAATCTACCGTCTCTGAAAAATTTAGGCGTTCAGTATAATAAGAGAAAACAATATAGGTGTTTTAATATTGAATGGGCGTGGTCTAAAGTATTCGAATTTTTAAATTTTGACGACGGAATCCTCGAACCAGTAAGTACAGTATGCCATCTGCCCACCCTGTAAATTTTTGAAAAAAACAAAAACAAAAAATACGTTATCCCCCCCCCCCCCCCCCCAAGGTTTTGGATAGTAGAAATTAGGAAAGACACGTTAAAGTGAACTTGTCCCTCCAACAGGCGTATGCCAACTACCGGTGGTTACTTTCGAGACTAGCCAGGTTTACCAAGCTGTAGAGGATGAAACGTTTAAAGAGGTGAAGTGGAGTGGAAATGCTAAATATCTTCTTATCACAACCTCTACAACTCAGGTTTGTTCAGAATAATGTGCTGCTTCTTTTTTCAGAATTATTTCTGTACACTGTACACTGTACACTGTACGACCGCCCACGTGCAAATATATAAGAAATAGGTAGTTGCAAAGCATGGTAACGAGGGTTATTACACGCACGTGCACGTGCAATGATTGTTTTAACGTAATTTTGATCCGTTTTGTTGATATTACGCTGTGTTTAGTACTTTAGTACGAACTACGAACAATATTTTAATTAGCTGTATCTTCGGTTGTGTGGGATATTTTTTGACGCGATTTAAACTTACTAAGAAAAAATACTATTAGCTTCCCTGTGACCACGGATTTTCTAGTCTATATTATAATTCAGAGAATTTCCTTTGTACACTGTACGACCGCCCACGTGCAAATAGATAAGAAATAGGTAGTTTCATAATAACCATGGTAACGGTGTTAAAAGTGCACTTGCACGTGCAAATTGATTGTTAAAACGGCATTTTGATTGTTTTTTGTTTGTTATTACGTGGTGTTCAGTATCTTCGGTTGTGATGGATATTTGTTGATGCTATTAAAACCTACTAGCTTCATCCCTGTTACCACGGGCTCTCTAGTATTATATAAAATACAAATTAAAACAATTTTTTTTGAAAAACAAAATCTTTTTTGGAGTTAGGGTTCTTTTTTACTTTTTTAGAGATTTTTTCTTTTCTGATAATAATGTAAAACACAACAATCAACATTAATAATCGATCTTAAATTCTATTCCATCATTTCAAGTAGTAATTAACAGTATCTCGTCCAATATATTAACAAACTTTGTTTGACATACGATAACATCCTCATTTTACGAACCATAACCAGTTACTTGACACATAGCTGATACAAATACCGAGGTAAAAAAGTCCGAAATAAAAACAACACCAGTTCTCACAACATTCCCCACATTCCGCAGGTGCACCTGATCTGCAGTGAGTTCCACTGCCACCTACACTCCCTAGAGTTACCGGAGATCCCACTCCGGGCGGTGTGGGCACCAAACAGTCAACTTGTACTGATGGTGGCTAGGAACAACGGAGCTTTCCTCTGCTCTGTTACTCCTGAGAAGAAACTTAGACTTGTTCACAGGTTTTTAATTAATTAATTAATTAAATATCTTTAAACTTGCTCATCTTTCTCGCTCAAATACCCAGAAAAATACACTATATGTTACTCCCTAATCTAATCCAAATAGCTAACTGGTGCGACAATAAAGTCTTGATGATTATTGTTTTCAGAATAACAGAACCAGTTCACCTTGCTTGCTGGAGCCCGGTTACCAACCCTCCTAGCTCAGACTCCTCCGAAACATTCTCTCTAGTTAGTTGCTTTTTTATACCAGTCATTGTTTTGTTTCAGCCGGAATTCTTCAAAACACTTCAGATTGGACCCAATGTTGATTTCTGTACATTAAAATTTCAATTCCAACCAACTACCCTCTAATCAGGTGTACAGTAATTCTAACTACCCTCTAATCAGGTGTACAGTAATTCTAACTACCCTCTAATCAGGTGTTCAGTAATTCTAACTACCCTCTAATCAGGTGTACAGTAATTCTAACTACCCTCTAATCAGGTGTACAGTAATTCTAACTACCCTCTATTCAGGTGTACAGTAATTCTAACTACCCTCTAATCAGGTGTACAGTAATTCTAACTACCCTCTATTCAGGTGTACAGTAATTCTAACTACCCTCTAATCAGGTGTACAGTAATTCTAACTACCCTCTAATCAGGTGTACAGTAATTCTAACTACCCTCTAATCAGGTGTACAGTAATTCTAACTACCCTCTAATCAGGTGTACAGTAATTCTAACTACCCTCTAATCAGGTGTTCAGTAATTCTAACTACCCTCTAATCAGGTGTACAGTAATTCTAACTACCCTCTAATCAGGTGTACAGTAATTCTAACTACCCTCTATTCAGGTGTACAGTAATTCTAACTACCCTCTAATCAGGTGTACAGTAATTCTAACTACCCTCTATTCAGGTGTACAGTAATTCTAACTACCCTCTAATCAGGTGTACAGTAATTCTAACTACCCTCTAATCAGGTGTACAGTAATTCTAACTACCCTCTAATCAGGTGTACAGTAATTCTAACTACCCTCTAATCAGGTGTACAGTAATTCTAACTACCCTCTAATCAGGTGTACAGTAATTCTAACTACCCTCTAATCAGGTGTACAGTAATTCTAACTACCCTCTAATCAGGTGTACAGTAATTCTAACTACCCTCTAATCAGGTGTACAGTAATTCTAACTACCCTCTAATCAGGTGTACAGTAATTCTAACTACCCTCTAATCAGGTGTACAGTAATTCTAACTACCCTCTAATCAGGTGTACAGTAATTCTAACTACCCTCTAATCAGGTGTACAGTAATTCTAACTACCCTCTAATCAGGTGTACAGTAATTCTAACTACCCTCTAATCAGGTGTACAGTAATTCTAACTACCCTCCAATCAGGTGTACAGTAATTCTAACTACCCTCTAATCAGGTGTACAGTAATTCTAACTACCCTCTAATCAGGTGTACAGTAATTCTAACTACCCTCTATTCAGGTGTACAGTAATTCTAACTACCCTCTAATCAGGTGTACAGTAATTCTAACTACCCTCTAATCAGGTGTACAGTAATTCTAACTACCCTCTATTCAGGTGTACAGTAATTCTAACTACCCTCTAATCAGGTGTACAGTAATTCTAACTACCCTCTAATCAGGTGTACAGTAATTCTAACTACCCTCTATTCAGGTGTACAGTAATTCTAACTACCCTCTAATCAGGTGTACAGTAATTCTAACTACCCTCTAATCAGGTGTACAGTAATTCTAACTACCCTCTATTCAGGTGTACAGTAATTCTAACTACCCTCTAATCAGGTGTACAGTAATTCTAACTACCCTCCAATCAGGTGTACAGTAATTCTAACTACCCTCTAATCAGGTGTACAGTAATTCTAACTACCCTCTAATCAGGTGTACAGTAATTCTAACTACCCTCTATTCAGGTGTACAGTAATTCTAACTACCCTCTAATCAGGTGTACAGTAATTCTAAGTACCCTCTAATCAGGTGTACAGTAATTCTAACTACCCTCTATTCAGGTGTACAGTAATTCTAACTACCCTCTAATCAGGTGTACAGTAATTCTAACTACCCTCTATTCAGGTGTACAGTAATTCTAACTACCCTCTAATCAGGTGTACAGTAATTCTAACTACCCTCTAATCAGGTGTACAGTAATTCTAACTACCCTCTATTCAGGTGTACAGTAATTCTAACTACCCTCTAATCAGGTGTACAGTAATTCTAACTACCCTCTAATCAGGTGTACAGTAATTCTAACTACCCTCTATTCAGGTGTACAGTAATTCTAACTACCCTCTAATCAGGTGTACAGTAATTCTAACTACCCTCTAATCAGGTGTACAGTAATTCTAACTACCCTCTAATCAGGTGTACAGTAATTCTAACTACCCTCCAATCAGGTGTACAGTAATTCTAACTACCCTCTAATCAGGTGTACAGTAATTCTAACTACCCTCTAATCAGGTGTACAGTAATTCTAACTACCCTCTAATCAGGTGTACAGTAATTCTAACTACCCTCTAATCAGGTGTACAGTAATTCTAACTACCCTCTAATCAGGTGTACAGTAATTCTAACTACCCTCTAATCAGGTGTACAGTAATTCTAACTACCCTCTAATCAGGTGTACAGTAATTCTAACTACCCTCTAATCAGGTGTACAGTAATTCTAACTACCCTCTAATCAGGTGTACAGTAATTCTAACTACCCTCTAATCAGGTGTACAGTAATTCTAACTACCCTCTAATCAGGTGTACAGTAATTCTAACTACCCTCTAATCAGGTGTACAGTAATTCTAACTACCCTCTAATCAGGTGTACAGTAATTCTAACTACCCTCTAATCAGGTGTACAGTAATTCTAACTACCCTCTAATCAGGTGTACAGTAATTCTAACTACCCTCTAATCAGGTGTACAGTAATTCTAACTACCCTCTAATCAGGTGTACAGTAATTCTAACTACCCTCTAATCAGGTGTACAGTAATTCTAACTACCCTCTAATCAGGTGTACAGTAATTCTAACTACCCTCCAATCAGGTGTACAGTAATTCTAACTACCCTCTAATCAGGTGTACAGTAATTCTAACTACCCTCTAATCAGGTGTACAGTAATTCTAACTACCCTCTAATCAGGTGTACAGTAATTCTAACTACCCTCTAATCAGGTGTACAGTAATTCTAACTACCCTCTAATCAGGTGTACAGTAATTCTAACTACCCTCTATTCAGGTGTACAGTAATTCTAACTACCCTCTAATCAGGTGTACAGTAATTCTAACTACCCTCTAATCAGGTGTACAGTAATTCTAACTACCCTCTAATCAGGTGTACAGTAATTCTAACTACCCTCTAATCAGGTGTACAGTAATTCTAACTACCCTCTAATCAGGTGTACAGTAATTCTAACTACCCTCTAATCAGGTGTACAGTAATTCTAACTACCCTCTAATCAGGTGTACAGTAATTCTAACTACCCTCTAATCAGGTGTACAGTAATTCTAACTACCCTCTAATCAGGTGTACAGTAATTCTAACTACCCTCTAATCAGGTGTACAGTAATTCTAACTACCCTCTAATCAGGTGTACAGTAATTCTAACTACCCTCTAATCAGGTGTACAGTAATTCTAACTACCCTCTAATCAGGTGTACAGTAATTCTAACTACCCTCTAATCAGGTGTACAGTAATTCTAACTACCCTCTAATCAGGTGTACAGTAATTCTAACTACCCTCTAATCAGGTGTACAGTAATTCTAACTACCCTCTAATCAGGTGTACAGTAATTCTAACTACCCTCTAATCAGGTGTACAGTAATTCTAACTACCCTCTAATCAGGTGTACAGTAATTCTAACTACCCTCTAATCAGGTGTACAGTAATTCTAACTACCCTCTAATCAGGTGTACAGTAATTCTAACTACCCTCTAATCAGGTGTACAGTAATTCTAACTACCCTCTAATCAGGTGTACAGTAATTCTAACTACCCTCTAATCAGGTGTACAGTAATTCTAACTACCCTCTAATCAGGTGTACAGTAATTCTAACTACCCTCTAATCAGGTGTACAGTAATTCTAACTACCCTCTAATCAGGTGTACAGTAATTCTAACTACCCTCTAATCAGGTGTACAGTAATTCTAACTACCCTCTAATCAGGTGTACAGTAATTCTAACTACCCTCCAATCAGGTGTACAGTAATTCTAACTACCCTCTAATCAGGTGTACAGTAATTCTAACTACCCTCTAATCAGGTGTACAGTAATTCTAACTACCCTCTAATCAGGTGTACAGTAATTCTAACTACCCTCTAATCAGGTGTACAGTAATTCTAACTACCCTCTAATCAGGTGTACAGTAATTCTAACTACCCTCTAATCAGGTGTACAGTAATTCTAACTACCCTCTAATCAGGTGTACAGTAATTCTAACTACCCTCTAATCAGGTGTACAGTAATTCTAACTACCCTCTAATCAGGTGTACAGTAATTCTAACTACCCTCTAATCAGGTGGTACAGTAATTCTAACTACCCTCTAATCAGGTGTACAGTAATTCTAACTACCCTCTAATCAGGTGTACAGTAATTCTAACTACCCTCTAATCAGGTGTACAGTAATTCTAACTACCCTCTAATCAGGTGTACAGTAATTCTAACTACCCTCTAATCAGGTGTACAGTAATTCTAACTACCCTCTAATCAGGTGTACAGTAATTCTAACTACCCTCTAATCAGGTGTACAGTAATTCTAACTACCCTCTAATCAGGTGTACAGTAATTCTAACTACCCTCTAATCAGGTGTACAGTAATTCTAACTACCCTCTAATCAGGTGTACAGTAATTCTAACTACCCTCTAATCAGGTGTACAGTAATTCTAACTACCCTCTAATCAGGTGTACAGTAATTCTAACTACCCTCTAATCAGGTGTACAGTAATTCTAACTACCCTCTAATCAGGTGTACAGTAATTCTAACTACCCTCTAATCAGGTGTACAGTAATTCTAACTACCCTCTAATCAGGTGTACAGTAATTCTAACTACCCTCTAATCAGGTGTACAGTAATTCTAACTACCCTCTAATCAGGTGTACAGTACGGAGACAATAACCCGAGCCTGCTCCCTGACCTACCGTAAAGAAAATATCACCCTAACCTGTGTATACAATATAACATGCGGCAAAACTAAAGACCTGTTCTTTGTTTGCAACGGTCTGGTGCTGGTCTGTGTCCTGGACAACATGCTCTGTCTCTACAGCATGGAGAACGGGTGGCTGGTTCAGAGTCACACCTTCCACAACACCATCACCAGGTATGTTTGTTTTTTTTAAAGTAAATTGTATTAATATTAAATTTTTATTGCTATTTTAGAGTGTGGCGAGAAATTGCGTTATGATATGATTATTATTTTGACAGTTACTATTGTAGCTTATGATTTTAAATTTGTATTCCTTATAAAATATTCCAGGGTTGACTGGTTAGATCACATCGGGTTCATAGCTCACGTGGCTGGAGCTAAAGATGTGTGTATCATGAGGTATAGTCTCAAGTTGTACGAGAAACAGAGGACTGTGCTACAGGGAATCAACACGCTCGGGATATCCAACATTGTGTCAGATAACCCGCCCCACGCTCTACTTCTGTATCTCAAGCGTTTCCAGAAAACTCTGTTCGAACAGCACCGGCACGAGAAACCCAGGATAGCCTCTAACGACTATCTGACTTTCTCTCCTTATCTACAACTGTTGTGCAGCTTGTGTAGTAGACTAGACTTGACACCGTTGTACGCCAAGACTCCGCAAGCATTCCACTCCACGAGCAAGGCTGTAGAATCAGAGTGGGGCTGGTTGGACCTCTACGACAAAGCATTAACATTGAGCAACCTACTAGCCTCCGAGCAGTCTTTCAACGACACGCTTTATGTACCTGGTCTCACGCGTGACTCATCACGTGACGTCACACCACGTGATCCGATCACGTTAGACTCCACTACTAAGAGAGCGTTTGATAACAAGAGTTGGAACGAGGATACAGACCGGGAGATAGTTAGGTGGATATCAGAGTATCCCCAGCACTGGCAAGAAGGCGGCCAGTGTGAAGTGTACATGTGCGGTGACGGTAGACACGGCCAGATTGGGGAGAATATCAGGTTCAGCCTCACTCCCAGTCATCAGAGAGAGTTTAGTGAGGCTCAGCTTATAGTTCAGGGTAAGTTCTACTTATTTTGTATATTTTTAGGTTCATTATGGAGGCGTTCACAAATGATGTCACATATTTAGGGAGACAGGGGCCGGGAGTTTTGGGGTTTCAAAAGTGATAGGATATGATAAAAAGACACAACTTCCAAATGCCAAAATCTAGCCAACGACTGAAACTGACGTCATTTGTGAATGTCTCCAATACTTCTCAGATACTAACAAAACTTTACAAAACAGATAAAGCTGGAAAAAACAAAGTCAAGTCGTCCTATATTGTAATGATACTAAACATTTTAACCCCAATATTAATGTATTCATGTAACCCCGCGACAGGAAACAACTGCACATTCCCTGATAACAAGACACGGCACAGTGTACGCGTGCGGAGAAGGTAGCTATGGGAGACTGGGACAGGGCAACTCAGACGACCTCCACACCCTTACAGCTATATCCGCTCTTCAGGGGTGCGTTCTTACTGTTGCTTTCTTAATTGAGAACTTAGGCTTTTTAAGGGAAATCATCGGTACCAAAAATGATAAAAGTTGTTGATTTTACTATCCTTCTAAAAATAAACAGAAACTTATTTCAATCCGATTTTTTTTCGAAACGTCAGAATCTATGATATTTAAAAAATTAATGAATAATCAAACCAATCTATCACGTCCATTTTGGAGTATAGAAAACAGCATAATGTTCTATTACTAGAGTAGCATAATGTAGTTACCCTACTAACATATAGATGTTGTACCAACTTCTCTTCATCTACCTACTACTCTACTAGACTACAGAATTTTGTGGGTCATAACTGTATTTAAGTAATGCTAAAGTTGACCATCCATACCAATTGTCCGTTTTTCTGAAATCTGACAAATCGTTCACATCCTTTCTCCTGAACACCTTTAAATTTCCATTCTCTGATACTGATGTAAAAAGCGGAAAATTGTTCGGCATTGCTGAGTCAACATTTGGAATTTTCCTGAGGATTTTTTCCACGCCTCCACTAGGTCCACCGTTAAACACTCTCCAGACCTTTCAATGTATGTCTATCAAAATTTTAAAACCTGGATGATTAAGAAGTACAATTTAATGTTAGCTATAAAATATTTAGCTTTGTTAATTGTTAATTGATCTGAAAAGCTACCTGATCAACACACTCTTGAACCACGCCTCTTACTAATCTCTTGTTTTCTTTACTCTTCTGATCGTAAAGAGTTCCGTCTCCGAAACACCTGACAAGATCATATTAATATAATTGAGGTTGACGTTAGATGTGGTGGCTACTAGTAGCTACTTATGGTTACTAGTGGTTACTAGTGACTACTTATAATTACTAGTGGTTACTTATGGTTACTAGTGGTTACTAGTGGCTACTTATAATTACTAGTGGTTACTTATGGTTACTAGTGGTTACTAGTGACTACTTATAATTACTAGTGGTTACTAGTGGTTACTAGTTTGCCCCATAATGGGGAAACAAGCGGGTCTAAAACAACCATGAGATGATCACAAACTCAGCATAACTTCACTGATCTACACACAACCAACCTCCACTTTTCCTTGTCGTCGTTGATAACGTTCAGCCCAAACTTGCCATCCTCGTCATGTTGGTAGTGAACTAGAAGATCACCTGTTATTTCTGGGGTCACTACTGCTGGTAATTCTACTCTTGGAACCCTGACAGGACATTTTTTGAATGGAAATTATTTTAAATAAGCGGGATTTGCTTACACAGTACAGGAAAATGTAATTTGCAGGTTGCTAAAAAATGCCGATAGTCATACTTTTGATAAAACACATTCCGTATAATAAATGAATTAACTAACCTGATATGCCCTGCAGAAAAACTGTCTGTGAGGAAGTGGCAGGAAAATGCGGAGATAGCGTACGCTTCATTTAGCAGCCCCATAGCCTCCTCTCGTCTTGCTCTGAAAACCAACCTTGCTTCCTCTGCTTTTTGCAGGGCTATCCGGTGTCCTGCCTCCCAAACTTTTCTTGAATACGGTTGGAAGTGGTCGGGATTATTTTCTGCTAGCTTCATCATCCTACCAAACTTGACTGGTATACCATTAACCCAGTATCCTCCCAGAATAGTGTCGTATTGGATTGTGAACCACAGTCCATGGTGCCTGTACACATCAGAAGGCTGATTGTAGGTTTTGTTTTTGTCTAAAACTGTTGGTATCGAAGGATCGCCTTGCCCCAAAACTGTGGCTACAGAATTCTTCTCAATCATCAGGATGTGCTGAATTTGACTTAGTTCTTTACGGATGGAAGAGACATCTCCTCTTCCCAGTGTGTTGAATGCGTCCATAAACCTAGACTTATAAGATGTCCCGTTCACTTCCGCACAAATTGGCCACTCAGGAATCCCATAAAAATCTCCTGCGAACCCGATGATCTCGCCGTATGTAAGTTTTATACCGTTGGGAAGAATTAGTAAGTTTTTATCTGGTGCTATTTTTCCTAAAATTTTTAATGTCACTTCTTCGTCGTCATGCTCACCGGTTTCAAAATATTCTTGACCCGGGATTTCATTTACAGAGTTATCTCCAAATACTCTACCACCAAATACTATACCACCACTAGTTGTACCAAATAGACCAAATAGACCAGATATTCCTGCGGACACTAATCTAGGCGACTTTCTTTTGGCCTCCTGATCCTCCTCATAAAATAGTTTCCTCCTCAGTTCTTGTTCCTCTATCTTCTCCAAATCCGGGAGCATAACCTTTACTCCCCCATCATTATGCTCCCCAGTCTCAAACTTACTCGAACCTGCTTTCAAGGCTATTGAATGATTGTGGGTTGATTTACGGCGATGATTGTTAGAAGTTGCTATAGATACAGTGGTGTTATGACTGTCTTCATTCTTTAGACCTTCTTCCAGAGAATTAATCAAACCTCCCAAATCGTTTTCATCGCCTTGTTTTTTCAAGTAATTGATGATGTGGCTCAAATTATCTCTTGATAAAACTTGGTTTGGCTGGCAGCAACTGTTAACTATCGCCTGAACCATGGTGATTTAAGCTTTTGCGAGTATCAAAGTAGACTAGTTCAGATTGACAACATGTATGCGACTGCTCAGAAAGAGTACACAATACACAAATCAGCCGAGTACGAATCAACTGTAGTCAGATGACCTTGAAAATATCACAGTATCGTATTTCAATGTTATGAAATGTAATAATGTGGAATCTTTTGGTCCAAAACTAAAAGTAAAAACACCTAATGTGTATTGCTGTGCTAATTTCCCCACGCTTACCGCTTATTACGAAGGTATGATTGTACTTGGTGACTGTATTTCCGTGATATTTAAAATTTAAATGGATAAATATATAGCAATATGTAAAATGCAAAAGCAAAAGTAGCGAGTAAAATGTGAGTTTAGTATGATATTGATGATAGGAGATAAATCAGTTTGAATTTCAGATATGTTATAACGTGCATGTCAACATCTAAAGGAAGTGACGGACATTCCATTGCTGTAACGGAATGTGGAGAGGTAAGTCTCTTGTTATTATATTAGGTTGTATAAGCTAATAAGATTCTTAATATATAAGTTATTATATTAATAAGATTCTTAATATAATATCGGAATCAAATCTAGCAAAGTGAAAAGGTGTGTGCTGTAGTTAGAAAATCTCTTCAGTAACACTCTGTAAATAATTCTACTACTTAAGAAAATTAAACAATATTACATTAAAGCTTCTTTATATTGTAATGTAGTTTTACTGGGATCCTACTATACTTGAAGATTTGCCAAATTATCGACCAAAAACCTTCTATTGGATCTGTATTTTACAGGTATTCAGTTGGGGTGATGGAGATTACGGAAAGTTGGGACATGGAAATAGTGAGAGACAAAGGCGACCCAGACAAATCCAGGCGCTTCAGGTAATTAAATAACATCAATAAAAGGAAAAGCGGTCTTCGACTCTCCATATTTGATATTTGTTGTCTAATAATAATATATTTTAACTTATAGTGTAACCCCGCAGTTCCACGGCTCAGTTTTGCAACCAGATTTGCTAACATTTTTTCTCACGTTTTTGCGACCGGAAATGAAATTCAAAAATGTTTCTCCGCACGGAGAAATATTTTTGATATGACCCAAAACTCCGTGAAAGCAGTTTTAACCTAGGCGCTCGCGTTGGAAATTTCATTATAATGCGCCCACGTGCGCGCGCAAATCTGCGTGCAAATACCACATGGGAACGTACATTGTAAACAAAACTTCCTTCGCGGAGTTTTGCCTTTCAAAACTCTTTTCGCGGAGTTTTGTGTCAAATCTGGTCGCAAAACTGAGCCGTGGAACTGGGCTGTAACCCGGCCTTCGGCCGGGATTTCACTGCCGCAGTTAAAACGGGTAGGAGTATTTACCCGCTGAGTCAAAACCCGCATTAGGTGACCCAATAGTTAAATTTAAACAATAATCTCATAATCAGTTATTTCTTGTGGATAATTAAGTCATTATTAGACATGAGGCACCACATTCCATGATCATAAGGTCTGAACACCGAGTATTACACCTCATCACTCCCGTCTTGAACCGCTTTCTATTTTTATTTAAATCGTTATAGAAATTAACCCTTGTTAACTCCGCACCACACCCGGTCACCCGCCTATTATATTTGAAAACACGCATAACATTGTCGTATGAACTCTCTCTCTCTCTCTCTCTCTCTCTCTCTCTCTCTCTCTCTCTCTCTCTCTCTCTCTCTCTCTCTCTCTCTCTCTCTCTCTCTCTCTCTCTCTCTCTCTCTCTCTCTCTCTCTCTCTCTCTCTCTCTCTCTCTCTCTCTCTCTCTCTCTCTCTCTCTCTCTCTCTCTCTCTCTCTCTCTCTCTCTCTCTCTCTCTCTCTCTCTCTCTCTCTCTCTCTCTCTCTCTCTCTCTCTCTCTCTCTCTCTCTCTCTCTCTCTCTCTCTCTCTCTCTCTCTCTCTCTCTCTCTCTCTCTCTCTCTCTCTCTCTCTCTCTCTCTCTCTCTCTCTCTCTCTCTCTCTCTCTCTCTCTCTCTCTCTCTCTCTCTCTCTCTCTCTCTCTCTCTCTCTCTCTCTCTCTCTCTCTCTCTCTCTCTCTCTCTCTCTCTCTCTCTCTCTCTCTCTCTCTCTCTCTCTCTCTCTCTCTGCAGTCCAAACAGACCCCAAACACTAACAGTCCTCCTCCCCTAATAAGCTTATGGTATTACATTACAGCGAATCTTCCCGGGCTAACGCAATTATGACGCTACTTAAACGCAGCTACATATTATACAGTAATGAGATGTAGAGAGCAAGCCCCGTAATATAACTCTTGCCGTTCTGCTCAAGCCATTTTATGCAACATTTGTGGTACAAAACCGTCAATTAAACCACTTACCACCGGCCGATTTTAAAAAATTTGCTTATGGGCTTCATCAGAGTTTTGTCGGCACTATACCAAAAAAACCAGTCCTGTAACTTTTACCGTTTTTTTTGTATAACCGTTCGGAAATTACACACGAACACACAGACGACACACACACACACACACATTCTGGTGTTATTAAGTTGATTATTTTACTCGATCAGGGAGAAGAAGTGGTTCAAGTATCATGCGGATTTAAACACACTGGAGTTGTTACCTCTGACGGAAAAGTCTACATGTTCGGGAATGGAGATTATGGCAGGTAATTAAATGTAAAAAACAATCTCCGTAGTTTTAATTGGTTGACTTTCTACTGTTTGTCTTACGATATAATCCAGATATTTGTCCCTTTTGCAGGACTGATCATCAGCTCTCTGGGATGTTTATAAAACTATCAGAGAGCTATATATACTAGATTTAGAGTGTTATCTATAATATAACACTGTAAATCTATATTATCTATAATATAACACTGTAAATCTATATTATCTATAATATAATCCCAACCACACGTGTCAGGTTAGGCTTGGCAAGTAGTTGCAACAAGAAACTCCCTGAACGAGTCATGTCGTTAGAAGACTTCCAAATCGGACAGGTTTCCACATCTAGTTGCTTCTCTTATTTTTTCAGTTGTTTTTCACTTACACTTTACAAATTATTAACATTGAAATACTGACCTCCGTGAGAGATTGAAATATCCCAGATAAGGAGAATGAAGCCACATAGTTTTATACCGGCTACAACTTCAGTATAATTATTATTACTAAATGTAACAACCAGGTGAGCTGCGGTTTGAACCACACACTTTGTGCTTCGCGAGATGGCAACAGGGTGTGGTCGTTTGGAGACGGAGATTACGGGAAACTAGGACTCGGTAACACCGCGGGTAGGAGTAGTCCTGCTGAGATCGAGGCTCTCCGTGGTATTGGGGTGATGAGGGTGCTGGCAGGAACACAGTTCTCTGTAGTTCTCACTAAAGCTGGAAAAGTGTACACATTTGGACAGGTTTCTTACAATTCATCATATTTGGTCGCTTATATACGGCCTAAGCGGTATACAAATAAAGCGTTGTTTTTATTATTATTATTATTATATTTACTGTATTGCATTTATTTGTAGTTAAATGCGGTGTTAACGAACATCAAATATTTGGGATCTTACTTGTTTGATTTTTTAAGGAATTCCAAGTTTCCCTTCCAGGAACGTATGTTAGGAATTAACGAAAGTTTCGCAACAAATAGCACGGTACCACAACTGGTACCTGATCTGGCGGATCAAGAAATCATTGAGATTGATGTGGGAGCAGAACACGTTGCAGCGCTCAGTAACAAGGGTCAGGTCTTCTCGTGGGGAATGAACAACGAGGGACAGGTAAGTCTTGAGAAGCTGCTCTTTTTTCTTTCTTTTTTTAAAGATGCTCTTAAAATGTTATGTTCTTTCTAGTTTAAAAAACAATATGATGCGACATTCTGTGAACTATATTTGAATGTTGTGTATTTTGAATACATTTATTTTAAAATTTCTAGTTCTCACATTAAAGTAACTTTTTTTCAGCTAGGAGTTGGTCACACTAACCCGGTAGCTGGGGTAGTCCACATAGCGGCCCTGGATAACAAAGGTGTTAACCAGATAGCTGCAGGCAAATCTCACTCTGCGTTCTGGACGGCTGCTAAAGAAAACACGCCTCGAGCCACGAGTTCCACTCAGCTAGGATTACCTGGCTCCGTGCCAGCCGAGTTCAGAAGATTGCTGCACATTGAAGTGAAACAGATCAGGGCCAGACTACAGGTCCTCAGCTATTTCTCAGACCTTGTTTACTCCAGCTGGAGACTACTGACGTATGATCCTGAAACTAGTGAGGTTGCTTGGGTCAATAACCCGCTTAACAACGTGCACGTGCGCTGTGTACTCGCGCCACGCGTTGCTATGCTACCCAGTATGAGGGCCATTGGGCGAACCATGGTTCAGGGTCGAACGTACGGGCCCCAAATAACGGTACACAGACTATCAACTCCGGACAAACCAGAAGTTCAGCCGATTTTCACGCAGATATCGGAACAAGTTGTAAAGCTATCGCCGCCCGATCTAAGACTACCCTCGCGAGCTTGGAAGATAAAGTTGATAGGAGAGGGAGCGGACGATGCCGGGGGAGTGTTTGACGATACCATTACTGAAATGTGCGCTGAGCTGGAGAACGAGGTGATTTCTCTCTTCTCCAGGACTCCTAACGGGGCCACTAACTCTGGATTCAACCAGGACAAATTCCTGATAAACCCCTCATCTACCAGCGAGGAGAATCTCCAGCAGTTCCTCTTCTTGGGGATACTGATGGGTGTTGCCATCCGAACCAGGAAACCGCTGGACATTCACCTAGCTCCTGCTGTTTGGACTCGTCTAGCTTCCCTACCCCTTCACACCTCAGATATTCAGAATGTGGATTCTATGTTTATCACCAGCATCAAGAGCCTTGTCTAACATCGATAAAAATGGAGTCAACGCCGAGAGTTTCAGTAATGTGATACCAATAGAAAAGTTCCACATTCAGAACAGTAACGGAGCTCTCCAAGCAATCATACCAGGGGGTGAAGATATCAAACTAACTTTTGATAACAGGAAAGTTTTCTCCGCCTACTCTCTGAAGTTCCGCATGAAGGAATCCGAGGAACAGATAGCAGCTATATTGGAGGGCATATCGTACATAGTGCCAGCCCCTCTTTTCAGGTTCATGACGGGGGAAGCGTTAGAAAGTTGGGTGTGTGGAAAACCTGAAATAGACCTGAACTTACTGACTAAGATTGTGAGGTATCGGGATATGGATAAAACACATTATCTGGTGGTGTGGTTTTGGAGGATAGTATCTAGGTTCACCAACGAAGATAGAGTTGCTTTGATGAGGTTAGTTTATATTTTAGTTCTGTACATGGTTCATTTTACAGTTATACAATATTTAGCCAGTAAATTGTATAACTTGTTTGTGTTGAAATATTTTAGTCTGTACTGTACACTAACTATGCGCTAACGCCCATTGTACAGGTTCGTGTCGGGTAGATCTCGTTTACCAAACGACATAGCGGATGTGTCACAAAGGTTCCAGATAATGAAAACAGATAAGAGCAAGGATGGACTGCCAACTTCACAAACTTGCTTCTTCCAACTCAGATTGCCTGATTACTCATCTGAAGTCATTATGGAAGAAAGGTGATTATATTCACGTTACATTACATATTTTGTGTTTGCTTTTAGTATTAGTAATGGATTCAATATGCTGGTTTACTATTATTTGGAAGCGCACATATCATGTTACACCAAGCGATTGTGCGTCTTAACGGAATGAAGTTAAAAAGGTTAATGACCGATTAGTTGTTGTTAGTTGTTATTGAACGTAAAATAATATAAAACCTGATCCCAGATTAAGGTATGCGATACACAACTGTAGAAGTATTGATGCAGACAATTACATGTTGGCTCGAAACGTTGAGAATAACACACAAGGAAGCTTTGACGACGGCATCATATGACTAGCAGGTGAGGGAGGGGGGAACTCGTCCCAGTTTCAACCCTTCCTTCATGACACATTGTGATTTCACTGACTGGTAGTTCGGGGAAACAGATATTTTGGTAGCAATGAACACTAACAGTTTCTTAGCCACCGATATTTGGTCATTGCGATAGAATGCGAGTTTTATAAATAGAATTATCCATTATGCTTGATGAATTAATAAGGTGTATCTGTGCTATACTCTACTGGTAACGAGTAAACATTAATTTAGTTTTAAGCCAATGAAATTGTCGTGTTTCTCACATAAGCATGGTACTGGTATTGTATTAAAGTGAATTTAAACTGTCTTATCGAATTATTGATTTTGAAAATTGTCGTTTTATGTAAACAGATTAATATAAATGTTTGTTAATACTCAATTATTCATAGTGATTAACTCCGGATTGTACATACCTTTTTTTGCTGCGTACTGTCATGTATTTTAAACTATAGATATTGTTAATGATTGTATATTTGCACTATTACGAGGGTATGATAAATATTATATTTTAGTTTCTAAATATGTGTTTTCTGTTTCGTGATCTAAGGTTTGGATATGATTTTACTATTAATGAACCGTGTATTTACAGAAAGGTATTCTCTTTATTTCTGGGGCGGGATTTTAAATTCTTGATATTGCAGTTCAAAGTCCTATACCTATGTAATATATTCTGTGATAAAATAGCAATCTTTTATTTTAAGAAACAAGCATTCCTAATTGTTTACCTTATCGGACGTTATTTGACCGGACATTGCGTGAACGGACATTAAAATGATGAATGAACACTTGAAGGCATTTAATTAATGTATTTGATTTAACTATTTTGTCTGACTTTATTTGAACGGAAATTTAAATAAACGCTAATGTCCGTTTAAATGAAGTCCGATCAGGTATATATACATATTTAATATGGGGTCGTTCACATATTATTATTACGTTATCACCTTTTGGAAATTTTTAACCTCCTCCCCCTCCGTAATCAGTTTTACACGTATAATAACTATTGTGTCAAAATAACACTAGTGGCGTAATCATTTTAAAACCCACCTCCCCCTCGGCTAACTACTTACGTAATATGTGAACGACCCCATATTGTTAGCTAAGTTTTTACCACATCACAAAAGTGCAAACATCGTGCAATATTGGTCATAGAATATGGATTGGTCACAGAATAAATTTGCTGAATTCAAACAACGTGTCTCAAGGAATGAATAATTAATCAAACATGAAATTAAATTTTAAAGATATCCAATATCGCACATTTGTGTTTGAGTTAAAAATAATATATAATGTAATCTTCTAATCTACATGATTCCTTGTCCTTAAACGCTCCAGTCATCCGTACTTTTATTATTCACCTGAAATATTTTCTTATTACTGCTACTTCCACAACAACTTATAAATTGCACACATTTTGTACGATGCTCATATCAAGTTCACCAGGACTTATGCTATTATTTTATTTTTAGTGCAAGTTGAAAATAATGCCAACTTACGTTTGTAATTTTCGAATCCCCCGGAGATTTCCTCACGCTTGGCTTGGACAATGTTCGGTTGATCGTAGTCCCACTCATGTTGCTCATAATCAATATAGAACCCCACCACCTCTTTAAACACACCCTCCTCTTTGCAAGTGCAGCCTGAGGAGAAAGATCTTAAACTAATCGTACTTAAATTAGGTGCGGTGGAAAACAAAAAACTGTTCGTGTACCTACTTAGATTTGGTAGGTTAAGAATTAGCGTCATTAAAGATTTCTCTATTCATAGGTACATTTGGAATTTATTTAAAAGCTCCATGTCCTTAGTTTCGATTCTTCCATTATTAAATTTTGCTTTAACTTACTGTTCAGTCTTTTGTGTGACCAAGTCATCACGTAAGGAACTTCAACTCTGTCCTTTGTCATCACCGCTTGACACACGGCCTTCTTGTTGGGTGGGGCGGTGCAAGGTAACTCCACTTTCTCCGTCGTTGTAACAGTACTTGACTCCCCTGTAAAATTTCTAATCAGTATGGAATATTTATTGAATGTGTTATACTTATATGCTAATTAAGCTAATATATATATTTACTATTTATATGTATAACTATAAGTATAACTATAAATATACGCTAAAACTGAATTTAAAGCATTTTGAAAATTAGCAATAATAGCTTGTTTATACCTGCACTGAACTCCATAGATGCACTCATCTCAGCCGAAACTGAACCAGATCCTACCCCTGGGACTTCAGCCGTGAATGATGTGCCGAGTGTGACTGAAGCACCCGTAGTACGAGAGAACTCCATCGTATTAGAAACCTCAACAATTTGCACAACCAGGACTGACAAATCTGTGCTGCCTCCATTTTTCAGTTCCTTTTCGCTGAATATTTTACTCAATTTATAATAATAATGATAGTTTGGTCGACCGCATGAGTCGTGGAGCCGATCTCCCTGTCTAATTGCATTTCGGCCACGGTCCTTTCGGTACAGATTTCCCTGCAGTATAGACATAGTCGGGACGCAACCCCAGGCGTATACACTCGTGTTATTTTCGCAGCTCTAATGAAAGCCACTACCATTTACACCATGGTTTGGTGAGTAATGGCTGCCCTTCAGTTTTTGAGATTTTGGCCCAACTGGGATTCGAACTTGCAACCTCCAGGCCAATAGACAGGCGGATTAACCGAGTGAGCCACTGAGCCACTCTATTTATAATTACTATACCAATCGTTCATAACTATTTCATGAATCCAAATAATCAAAGCTTGTGAACTGATCCGAAATTTAAAAACAATAGAAAGTTTAACAACAACTTAAATTTAATTTCCTTACTTTGTAATCGTATATTGGATCATGCATACCGGAGAACTAGAATGGGGGAACTTCGCCATGTTTTACAGCTATTTCATGTTATTTCGAAAATAGTAAGATACGAGTACTTGAAAAAGTTTATAACTCATATGAACAGGATTGGTAAAGCAAATAGTTTCGTATGAACCACATCAGCCAGGCATAAATAGTCAGCTAGATTGGTGCCACTGAAATCAGGGCGAAGTTACCCTGCAATATAATGGGGTAACTTTGCCATTCTGAAACAATACCATATTCGGTGCTAACACCATACCACTCGAAACTCAATTATATTTCCTTGATATATCTGCCAATTTTACTTATCTAGCTCCTAGCCTACGTGTTACAATGGGCAATTTGGTCGCGGGGGTAACATCGCCATGCTGCGGGTTACATCGCCGGGATGAAGTAGAAATGTAGTCGAACTTCGCCAATACAATTAGTATTACACGTGCGTGACTTTGCCAGCCGCGCGCGAATTTCGCGCCAAACTTCGCCGAACAGATGTGAGATGGGATCAGAAATTGGTAACTTCGCCACACAAAAATTTGAAAACGTTATAATATCATTTTTGTGCATCATGGTTAATTAAATTCGCCCTTAAATGAACAAGACATATACTATTACTAACGCGGATGTCGCACCAAATTTACCCAGGAAAAGTTACCGGCTGGTGGTGGTACTAGAGTTGGTTTAATTTAAACAGACGGCTTGACCTCGCGCGCAACAACAAGCATGATTTGCACGCGTGGCGTATTCCAATGTTCAGGCAGCTACCACGTGACACAATTCAGCCAACCAGATTACAGGAATCCGCAAAGTTAAAGTTGCAAACTTTTGATCGGCCTGAAAGGGGACTTTTCTGGAGATTTTGAGATAACTCAACAATTACGTTGTCTTGAATTTTCCTCCTGGAGAGGTAACGTTACTTTTAAAAGAGGAACATGTTACAAAAAACCGGAAGTCTCTAACTCTTTTACTTTCAAAGTTAAGCCCCATCCGGTCAGGGTTTCTGGGTACATGGAAATTATGGGAAATATGCAAGCGGGAAGTTTTAGCCACTTTATTGCATTATTTCATGTTGCCCGAGGTTAATTAAAATAGCAAATGCTTATTTTTTAATAGGAATACCTTTATAACCATTTGTTCAACACAATACTATAGAAAAACTTGATCTCCTAACAATTCAAAACGGTAAAATTAGGGGGTGCACGATAAAAATAAACTTGCTCGGATTTTTTGTACCAATGTTTTCTAGAGACTGTGAGAATTTTCACAATACCAAATTTGTCATACCTTTTTGGAAAAATCAGTGAGTTTCGCCTAGGTGCCATATTTGATGGTGCGCGGCTTTTGGGGCAAAAGTAGCTGTAAAAGTCGCGTAATTTGACCAAATTCGTCCAAATTTGACCATTTTTGTCGTATTATTCGGATATATCTTCAGTTCCTTAAATGAGATCATTCTGGAAATTGGCGACGACCTTCCAATAGGGCTTTCACATCTGTCCGAAAAATTTGGTGGATATCGGAGTTGATATAGTGATCAAAATGGGGCAAAATACGCTGCTTTTAGCTGTAACATAATTTCTGATGGTTGGATATGCTTTAAATTTTTCGGACACTTTCCTTGTAAGTCTATGAGTAAGCTTACCAATTTTTGTTGCAATTGGAGGTCGGGAAGGATTCTAAATATCTATTTGTTTGAAGAAAATTGTGCTGGCCGAAATTAGCGCTAAAAAACCATCCTACAGTCGGCACGCGCGGCTCACTGTCGATGGCGCACTACCTAGTAAAATGATTATTCGAAAAATACTGGCGAAGTTCCCCGACACGGCGATTTTAACCCAATCTACGGTAACTTACACAACAACATCAGGCGGAGCTGTGGAAACGATGCCATTATCAATATCGTACTTGATGTCGGTAGCCTTGAAATCCTCTTCATTGACATTGGTACAGTCGCAAGCGTCTGTCGCTAAAAATAGACTTTTTAATGGTCTATTAATAGAATTGAATTATTTCAGTAGCTTATACTTATTTTACTAACAGTCAAGTTAAGCCCCGCAAAATCAATAGAACTTATAGTTTTGCGTGATTTATAAAGAAAGTCACGAGGAATATAATATCAAATATTTCGTATTATATACAATAAGTATTTAATCTATACACCATAATAAGATTAAGTATACTAAAAGTGGAAACCTGCTTCCTTTACCGATCACAACCAAAATTATAAACGAATTAAGTTTGTGCGTTAATGTTATCTAATCGTATCATGACG